CTAAACTAGGCTTATGGTACACTTTCTCACTCTAACCGTGTTTCTTAACTTTTCTTACGCAGTCTTCCTTTTGTTAGTGTACGTTATCCTACCTTCAGACAGTTTGAGTTGAACAGGCAATGCACTGGAAATGCGATCATCAGATTTCACTTTGCCTGTATCTCCCCAATGCTAGTTAGGACGGTATCTCCTAACTGTAAAAATAACTAACAATACTCAGAAGGCTTACATAGTATTTGTAAAGTAAGTTGGATGAATATCCTTAACATGGCAGCTATACCCCCGTATTCTGCTGTGAGCCAATACTTGCTGCCATCTACCACCAGCAAACACAACTTCTGCACTCAAGTGCCTGATGTCTTTCATTTGCTTTAAGAAATAAGTATAGGGAAACAAGAAAACTCAGAGAACCCGTTTAGCCAAACCAAGTGAACACCTGCTAAAATGCCATCAACACCCCTCAGGACTAATTTCCTTAGTAAATCTGAAATTGACCAATGAAGTATTTCACAGGGTGTGCCGGAAGTGAAATCATGAATTTCCAAGGCCAAAACAAGCACTCTAAAATTTAAGTCCCAAAGGGAAAAATGAAAGTTTCTTTTATGTTAAAACACTCAAATCTCACTTATTCATCTACTATTACTTCAGGAATAAATGTTAGGATCAAAAAAACAGGGAAAACAGGAAGAGAGTTGTCTTTTAAAAACACCTAAAACAGACCAGCCCAGAGAAAATATCACCTCTTCTCAATGAAGGAATTTCTCCAAATTTATTTGCTTTCTTCTCCTCCAGATAGTCTGCTGAGACGGCTGGTTTACTTGGCCATTCTGTTGCTTTTCTGAAAGGATATTTCTGAAAGATGTCTCAGAGTGCTATTTGAACTTATTACCCAATATTCAAAATGTTTACTGCTGACCTTCATGCAGGACAGTGCCTAGACACAGGGGATACACAGCTGAGTGGCTTAAGAAAGCTGACTTACAGCAAGATCAGGACACAACCTCAGGCCTACTTGTCCCATTTTTTTAAAAAAATCACTGTAATAAAATTTAATTTTTATGAAATAATCCACCCACTTTAGCTTCTGCTAGTGCAACATACTAATTTTAAAGAACCTGGGAAATAGCGAAAGGGCTTTTTTTTTAAAGCTAAGTAGATACTAGTAGTGAAGTAAATAAGGACCATTGTGGTTTAGTGAGAAAGTCAATATGGATTATAATGAAACATTTTTTCCTACATCATTTTAAGAAAATCAAGATCTTGAAAGGCTATATAAATACACAAATGGGTAGGGTGCCTCGGTGGCTCAGTCATTTGACTGTCCAGCTCTTGATTTGGGCTTAGCTCATGATCTCAGGGTCATGAGATCAAGCCCCACCTCATGCTCTGTGCTCAGCACAGGGTCGCCTGTCCCCCTCTCTCTCTGTTCCTCCCCCTGCTCTTTCTCAAATAAATAAATAAAATCTTAAAAAATAGACAAATGGGGATTTTTTTGTTTAAATAGTAAAATGATGTCCACTTGTTAGTAAATTGGAAGGAAACAGAGAAGACGTGAGCTGCCTATAGTCTGTTGAAAGAAGTCTATTGTTCCCAGTTCCAAGGAAATTAATGAGTAGCATTTAATTAAGAAGCTGTGATTGAAGATTTGCAATGATTCCTGCCAGACATTCCCAAAGGGAAAGGAACTTGGAACTCAAAAGGACTGAGAGTAAAGAAAACAAGCGAGTGGGGACTACAAAAACGGGCCAAGGAGGAGTCGGGGACCTCCAAGAGCCATGAGAACAGAGAGAAGCAGGCTCTGAGGTCTGCAAATAAGGAAGTGTTGATGGAGAACATGGCTGATACTGACAAGGGGTCAGAAAGGCCAGCCTCAAAAAAATGTGGGGAATGTCTATTTACAGAAAAATATTTTGGGTCCTAAATAGACTGACACTAGTGTGGGCTTTGAACAACTCAAAAGCCTTTTGCTTCAGACCTCCGCCTTCTACTCCCTTCCAAGAACGAGGGGCAAGTCAACTAGAACCCCTCGGTGCGCGGAGAAGGAGAAGGAAACGTGCGATCGAAGACTCCACGGTCAGAAGCTGTTTGGCAGGGATGTTCCTGATGCAATATTCCACCCTGATTTTTTGGGTTTTGGGTGTTTGTTTTGGTTTGGTTTAACATAAGTTTTATTTCTCACTCCCATAAAGTCCACCTTAGGACTGTGGGATTCTGCAGAACAGCTTCTCTCCACGCAGGGGGCTCAGCGTTCCAAACGACTCACAGTTTCTGGCCCTTTTCTCCACACGGGCCTCCACGACTGCGCGGGAAGAGCCCCAGATGTTTCACACCAACTTCAACACCAGCCAATTCTCAGTACGTGAGGAGTGCTCACAGAGACTTTAGAGGAAAACATTAGATGATAGATACAAATATACAATTTAGAAAAGAAGAAAAACCAATAGATAATAAAATTACCTGACTTATACTATTTAAAACAAAACAAAACAAAACAAAACAAAGACCAAATAAGATTTTTCTACTCCTCTATCCTGACAAATAGGAACAGAAGACTACAGTAGTGTTGGGGGTGGGTGTGTGGCAGTGGGAACACGGTCTGCAGATGTAGATGAAAGTATAAAAAGTCCCATCTGACCTGGAAACGGACCAGTTACTGGCATTTACCCTACCTGGATTAATTAGAAATCAGACCATAAATAATGGTGGTTGTGAGATAACAGAAAATATGTATACTGCTCTCCGGCCCCAGTTCCTGGCACAGAGCTCCTGAAACCCTTGCAATTTCCTGAGAGAAAACACTAGAAGCATCTTCAGTTCTAAAATTTGGCCTGTGACCCTGATTCCTGACCTAGGCTCCTAAAACCCTCATAATATCCTGGAGGCTAGGAGTGTCCGTTCTAATGAGGTGACACAGGGTGGGCTTCTGAATGGTTCCTGGTTGGGGACTGGTCAACGAGAGACCAAACACCACACTCAGAAGGTTGGAATTTTCAGCCCTGCTCCCCAGTGTCTTGAGAAGGAAGAAGGGCTGAAGGTGAAGCTAACAATCAGTCAAGACTACGTGATGAAGCCTCCATAAAAACCTGAAAAGTACACTTTCAGAGAGTGTGCAGAGTGGTGAAGACCTGGAGGTGTGGGGGAAGGGGCGCTCCAGGACGGGTAGCCACCCCCGCCCCCCGACGACCTTGCCCGGTACACCTCTTCCCTTGGAGTGTTCGTCTGCACCCTTTATCATATCCTTTCACAAAGTGGTCAGCGCGTTTCCTTGAGTTCTGTGAGCTGCTCTAGTCAATCAGTCGCACCTGAGCAGGATGTCGTAGGTGTCGCGGGAACCTCTGACTTAATGACACAGCCCGTCAGTCAGAAACACAGGTGGCAACCTAGACTTGACCTTGGTGTCTGAAGTGGTGGTGGGGGGCAGTCCTGTGAGACTGAACTCTCCACCTGAGGGGGGGGGGGGTCTGAACCCTCCCCAGGGAGATAGTGTTAGAATAGAATGAAGTTGTCGGACACCTAGCTGGTGTCCCTGAGAGCCACTCAGTCGGGGGAGAAGTCTCACACATCTGGTGACCGAAGTGTCATTTGGAATGAAAGCAAAGGCGAGACACGCACAGGTGAGTGGAGGTTTCCAAACACACTGTAGATCCAGACAATGAACTACAATGTAGCCATGAAAATAATGGTGATTTTTCACTTATCTGGAATTGTACTCATGCCGTTGTACCGAATCCAAAAAGCACTATAGTCTAACCACATGTATACGTACAATCGTGCGTACGGACACAGAACATTTGGGAATTCACTAAAATATTAAGAAGGATGCTATCCCTGGGATTTCAAGTGATTTTTTCCCTTCCCTTTCTTTCACAGTTGTTAGTATTATTTAAGTGCTTCACAGACTAAGTTTCCGTTTTAAAGTAAAAAATAAATAGCAACGAAGATAGTTTCCTTCCTACATGCTGTATCCTTCATGGAGGATGAAACAAGTGCCATTAGGTAACAAATGAGCTGGCGGAACTCCGTACCGACCGGCCTGTCCTCCTTCTGCCCCTCTGTCTTTACTCAGAATGGATGCAAAACACCTACATTAAATGAAAGAAAGACGACTCACTCAAGTCTCTCTCTGCATTACATGCCCAGGAAGATAAGAGGGGCTTAAACTCCTAAATAATCCACAACATTTTCTCCTTCATTAATTTAATTTACAAGCAGAGTAATTATCATGTTGTGAAGTTATTACTGAGTCCCCACATCCAATCCCCATGAGCTGAAGCAACCTCATTCTCAGGAGAAAACCGACCAAATAATTATAGAAATTGAGACACGGTTTTTTAAGACATCCTTGAACAGGCAGAGCAGAAATGAGGACCACCTTCCGCGGGTACAGTTTCTCTGTGTAGCTGTGTTTTGAAGTAACCTTAAGAAAAATCTAGTCTCAGGTTACATTTCAGAGAATTTCTTTTCCTCCCCAGCCAGGGAGCCTGTGGATGAGTCTCTGCTACTTCGGGTGCCTTGTTGCTTCATCTAAATCCCTGTCCTTGTCTTTCAACCAGCTTCTCATGAGGACCGTTACCCACTCACCCAGCGGGAGGCCCTCCGTAGCAGCAGCTTCTGGGAACCGTCAACGGGGCTTCCGTCCTCCGGGCCATTCTCTAATCAGATGTGATGCCACAAGATATTTCTTCCCTAGAACAGCCTTCTCTTCCTGCCTCGTAAGTGGAAATCCATCATTCGCTTATCAATGGCACCTTATAAAGTGCATTTAGAGATTTTCCATCAAAAGTATCAATTGTCTAGGTTTGACTCACTCTCATTAGGTAAGAAGTGACTCCCACATTTATACACAGAGTTCAGACAGATCCAGTGTTACTACCAGTGCCTGTGGGGTAGGTGAGCACACACATACAAATCACGACCACAGAAGTCGCTACGGTAAGAAATGCCGTCACACACAGCTGTCCTAGCTATTTCCCGCTCCAAAATAATGGAACTGCACACACCTTCAGTTGCTCATCTACGACTCTTGTCACTTCTCCAGCCATTGACTCCAGAGTTTCTTGAATGGGACCGGACGACAAGCCGCTGGCCCCCGCCCAGGACGCGCCACCGACGTGGTACAAGTTTGGTAACAACTGTAATAAAAACACAAATAACCTCTCTGTAACTATGTAACTAAGTACCGGAGTCACTGTAGAGTTAGTGAAAAGGGTAAGAAACATTATGAGAGAGGCTCTGTTCTCGATCAAAGGCCTCATACAGATTCACGAACTGTGGAGTTAGCATCAGTATGTTACCTCCGTGCCCCTTCCCGTCTTCCCCTGCAGAATGCAGGTATTTGACTAACGCTCAAGATCGTCCTCCTGACAATACTCGAGGGCTGTGTGCGTCCAAGAGCAGAGCCAGGCCCAGGCCCCAGGCTCTCTGGCCAACCCCCGACCCTTAGTCTTTTCTCCGTGAAGCCAGACTTTGGGGACCAAATTCTAATTTGAAAGAAGCTTCCTTTTAGAGGTGACAGAGGGGCGTTTCACGCTATCAGCTTGGAAGGAGAATACCTTCAAATGAGCTGTTGCTCATGTAAACTACAACTCTACCCCTCAGCTCTTCAGGACCCGACGACAACCCTTGTCAGCACAGGGACCCCCTACTTCTTATTCTGTATTTTGATGACTGGTAATTAACTCAGGGAACAGAAAGGAGGCAAAGAGGAACTCCCCTCACTCTGCCACTTGTCAGTCACCTTGACATTGGGTAGAAAGCTAAAAACAGTTGGACCTCGTTTGTAGAACTGAAGTTTAAACAAGCTTTTTATTACACAAGACTCACGTAGCCTGAAGTGAAACTCACCGTTTTAGAATTCTTCGCATCACGCATGAGCCTCTCTGCTGACTTTAAGTCTTCCTGGACAGCATCTCCCGCACAGTTTCGTAAAGAGTTGAGATGGTCCTGTACTTTCACACATATTCTGTCAATCATCTGCTCCACACCGTGAAAAGGACAGCAAGCACCCAAGGCAGCACAGCCAATATTCAGAGAGAAGAAAACATGGAATGAATGAGGACAAAAACACCTCTTAACTAGAACATTCCAGAACGTAGCTTACGGCCAGTTACTAATTTATCTGTTCATATCAGCAGCGTTTGGCAACATTAACTCCAATAAAACACCTCAGGGACTTCAGTCTTCTTTCCTGCCTTAGGAAATGCAGCATGTAGAACCAAAGTGTGTACTTCTGGATGATTCAGAATTTCGTGGCTACTCTGTGACATTTCGCTAGATAGTAACTCTCCCTCATTAATTTCTATTAAGTACCCTCTGTGACAGACATAGTGCCAGGTACTGAGGAAACAGAGAAATGGACTATGTAATTTGGCGATGGCTGAAATGACTACAAGATGGCATCCACAGCCAGTTGGTCTCAGTATTACAGAATCATAAAATCTCTGGAAATTAATATTTTAAAAAAGATTTTATTCATTTATTTGAGAGCAAGAGAGCATGAGCAAGGGGAGGGGCAAAGGCAAAGGGAGAAGCAGGCTCCCCCCTGAGCAGGGCTTAATCCTGGGACCCTGGGATCATGACCTGAGCTGAAGGCAGACGCTTAACAGACCAGGCCACCCAGGTGCCCAGAAATTAATATTTTTAAAGCTAATTCAATTATATCAGGTACTTCCCCATATAAATTAAAAGCCAATCTTCCACCCAAAAAAGCACGTTGAGGTTTTATTATTTTAACACAGGCAATAATAAAGTTGATAACATTTAGTTTCTATTCCATGAAAGCCCCTCTCCCAGGTTAATTACATCTGAATCATTTTCAGTCACTCCACGGATGTAAGCGTGAAACCCAGAGGGAAGTGGAAGATAACTACTGGAGACAAAAAGTACCAGAGATGGGCAAGATTATGTCCTTTTGTATTTGCATTTACAGAGAAGAGCATGAAGAAAGCTAAGAATTCTAAAGAAAGAGATAAACTGTGGTTTATAAAGTCTCTCCAGTATTTTGCTCAGAACTGCAGGCAATTTCATGGTCTTAACAAATTACTCCTTTTTCCAGAGACCTCACATATCCAGAGTCCTATCCCATCTGGGCATGCACTCAGCAGAGGTGGCAATCTAGTAATATTTTTTTAAAAAGATTTTGTTTTTTTGACAGACAGAGATCACAAGTAGGCAGAGAGCAGGCAGAGAGAGAGGAGGAAGCAGGCTCCCCACCAAGCAGAGAGCCCGATGTGGGCTCCATCTCAGGACCCTGGAATTATGACCCAAGCCGAAGGCAGAGGCTTTAACCCACTGAGCCACCCAGGTGCCCCCTAGTGATATTTTTATTTAAATTCACACTTGCTCTATTTTTAATGATTTGAAATAACAACCATTGGAAGCCAAAGTCAGCCCTCCTTCCCCCATGAATTCTGTGACAACAGAGACTTGGGTCCACCACTCGGAAGACTTACGGTCTGAATACAGAGTGGTGGCATCACAATCCCTCTTGTCCTCCTGCTCTAGAAAATCTGGTTCTAACATTTACCCCATCTCCCTTTCTAGTGTATTAGGAAGACAACTCAGTAAAGTAACACCACTCACAGCACCTATTCCCTGACACAGGGTCACTAAGTCAACATTAATGTACATTAAGAACAGCTCCTATTACCATCAAATGTCCTGGGGTTACAGACATGAAGGACCCGGAGCTCCCCACAGGAAACAGAAGTTCTATGAATAATGCTTCTCACTAAAATCTAAGCTTGTAGGGAGCAATCATATCTTAACTTGATGCGTTTTCACAATGCCCTGCAGAGAACTAACTATAGGATTTAAAATATCTTCTTAATTGATGTAAATTCTAACTCTTCTGTTGTATTGATCTGTGCCTCCTCATGGGAAGAGTCATCCATAATTCAGATCTTCCCAATAAGAATGCTTTATTTCTAGAGACAAACCACATACTACAAAAGGAACTGATACATGTCTGAGGCCACATTTGAGAGGCATGGGGAGGAGGCATTGTGAAGTTGGTCATCCTGAATAATCGGGAGGCCAAAGAGACTCCTGAAATGAGTGCAGTCCCCAAGGAGACAAGTTCCAATGACCTCAACACCATGTTCTGTAAGTGGAATTTGTAAAATTACATCTGAAAGAAACATAAAAATTTAGTTCTTCCATTCAAGTAAGACATAAAACCTCCCAAGTCTCAAAGGTTTGTCTGAACACACAGTTACTAAGGTTCAGAGCAGCCCAAGAGGTCATATCCAGATGCTTCACAACCAAAGAGCTCAGGGCCCACGAACGTTAAGCTACAGAAGATGACACGGGATGACTGTGTGGAGAGCAAGTCTAAAATTCTGACAAGAACTCGAGGATTTTGACTCTCAGTTCATACTGAAGCTCCTAAGGTACACAAATGTGAGGAGGCAGGGAGACGGGAAGCCAGAAGACTGTCGTCCCTTGGGCTGGCCCGTCAACACGCCTCAGGGTAGGTGACAGCACCCACGCTCTTCATCTGAACGGCCGCTCGGTGCCTCGAGCCCCAGCATTCCACTCTCCTCACGCAGCCCGCTGCAGTTGTTAACCACCACCGTCCATCTGAGCGGCTCACTTCCCTCTGAGGAAATGTACTCTGTCATTCTTGGACACGGTCATCTTTACGTTGAGTCCTAATCTGTCTTCCCACATCCCCTGGGACAGACCCATGACTCCCCCTTGAGAACAACAATCAGTCGCAAGCTCGCTTCCGTGGGACAGTCAGGCACACGTCTGAACACAGGCAACTCCTCTTCCCTAATCTGCTTCTCTTCAGGCTTCACGTTCCTGGTTCCTCTTGCCACTCTGCTATGGTGACAGTCTCACAGTCCTCAACCCTCTCCACCCCCAGGCCCCTTCTCTGCATTGTCTCTTCCACCTTAGACCCTCACGAAATACACCCACCCCCAATAAAACTGACTGTGACCCAGGAGAAGGGGATTGGAAAGCTGAGCGCGGCGGGCACCTTCCTTACTGTAGCAAGCATACCTCCATTAATGCGGTACAGGTCAAGCTGGCTTCTGTGGCAGCTAAATTACCACTAGCTCACGTCACACCTGTTGGGGACCGCTTAGGCTTTTGCAAACATACTGGGCTAAAGAACCCAAAGTTCAGAACTTAGAACTCTTAGTAATAAACACCACCTTTGGTTGCTCTCCACTTGTTATAACTGTTCCAGCAAATGCCTCATTTGCCGAGAAATTTCATCTTTCTCCATGTCAATGTCTTTAGCCAATTCAAGAGACAGACTGAACGCCTAAAACCGAATGTGAGACGGTCCCGAGTAAGATATACCTTTTACCACCCATGACTGAGAAGCCTGAAGTGGAAAGAAATATTCACCATCAACGGTAACGCAAGCTAGAGACCGCTCCCTAATATAACCCCCATAAGGGCACCCACGTTTTGTTCGTCTTGTTCTGCCCAAGCTCAGCTCCGTTTCCTACAAGGGTGCCTGCCACATACGTAGAAGTATGGAATGATACAGGAATGATACACAGGAATGATATGAAATTGTGTAAGATTTCAGCCAAGGGAGGGAGCCCATCTAGCTGAAGTTGAAGGTGGCTTTTCAACTGGGTCCTGAAAGATTTCTACAGGTTGAGAAAGTCGAAGGGAATTTTAAGCAAAAGAATAAGCATAAGCAACGGCATGGGCAGACACCTGCTAGGACTATTTCCTGATTAGGAACAGGGCACTTTATTGTAGGAGACAGGACTGGAATGTTCGGCTAAGGCAAGAGAGTGTGAGACCCAGGCACAGGCTAAGGAGGTGGAACAGGGTGTATGGGCACGGGGTATCCTGCCCCGGCTCCTGCCACAACCGTGAGGTCTACAGATCCTTACCCCGTAGCACCCTCGGTGACTCAGCTTCCCTGCCTGATGCAAAGGACATGGGCTACAGAGAGCAGAAGGAGACATGGAAGGTAGATACACCAGTTCCCACCGTACTTATGAAAGAAGACATAGGAGTGAGTTGAAAAAGCACCTGAGCAAGAGGGCTGGCAATAGAAATGGAAAAAAAAAGAAAAAAGAGGAACAGCTGCAAAGACACTTGGAAGGTCAATGGGTGGCCACAGTGACCACTGGCTGGTGGTGGCAAAGGAGACATCCAAGATGGCCCCAAGGGTTCTATCCTTGGTGATGAGGCCACTGAGAGAAATGGTAAAATCAGGAGTTCCAGAGACAAATTTTGTTTTAGTGACCCCCTATCTCAGACATGCTGAGCAAGTGTTGTTAAGTAAAACTTGCTGGAAAAAAACAGGGATAGACCCAGGAGTTCCCCACAGTTGGAGCATTAAAATGGTAAGGGTGGATGAAATAGCTAAAGGAAACAAGTACTAAGTACAAAACTTAGGAAAGGGACTGCATTCGGAAGACGAAAGGTTTAAGAATCATGTGGGAAGGAGACAGACAGGACCCACGAGGAGCAGAAAGATATTCAAAATGGCACACCGTCAATGAATGAAGCAGTGAGTCTTCGGAAGGTGAGGCAAGTCAATCGTGATGATATCCGTGACAGTAAGACTAATAGCAGCAATATTAACGGTTTACTGGTGACAAGTCAAGTTCTTCTCATGCTTTATCTCAGCGAATCCCCCCAGCATCTTCAGAGTTGTCTCCCCGGCTTCACAGATGAAGAAACCAAGGCTGGGACAGGTTTAAGTGACTAACATCAGTTCACGCCCACAGGGAAAGCAAAGCCTGTCCTTCAGTCTGGGTCATCCATACTATCCTGCCTCCTCTCACGAACAGATGAAGAGAGAGAAAAAGCCCAGGGACTTGGTGACAAGGCACCACGGGGAGAGCCATTCTGGTACAGACAGGGACACATCTGGAAAGGTTACGAGGTGATGGGGTAGCAAAGAGGTCAAGCAAGTATAGAAACTCCACATGTGAGGCAGAGGAGAACGCACTGGATAAAGAGCTATAGACAATAAAACTGCCTTCTCCCTTTTTAAAAAATGGTCAGCAAAGTTTACGAGTGAGAAGAGTGGATTCTGGCAAACTACAGGCAATTCTGGGCCTGTTTTTATTTTTTTATTTTTCCAAAGTCTTTATATTTTGCGAATTCAGTGTTTAAAAAAAAAAACAAACCCCACATAGGAAAACAGACTGGAAAGAAATAAATCAAGACCATGTGGGTGAGGGTGTGCCCGAGACTGCCTTTCTAAATAAAGTTTTATTAGAAGAGCCACCTCATTCATGCACACAGTGGCTATGGCAGTTTCGCTCTCCCACTGCAGAGCTGTGATGTTGCAAGGGGACCTTACAGCCTGCAAATCCGAAAATATTTACTTTTTGTTTTTTTACCAAAAAGATATGCTAACTCCTGGTGAAAAGAGTTTATGAGCTGGAAAGGATTATGAAAGCAAAGGGAGAGTATGGTATCTTAGAGTCTTAACAAGAGTTCTTGGCTACCCAGCTGGCCGGGACAGTAGTCACAGAGCGCCTATTCTTTCTGTATTCAGATTTCTGGAAACTTCGATAAGAAGTTTCAGTCTCTCGGAGATAAATCTCTCTTAAAGTGACTGAACCAATTAAAGTCTGAAAACTGCTAATCATAACGTCCTAAGAAATCCCCAAAGAGAAAAGGTGGCAATATACCTACCACGCAATGACTCAAATAATTCAGACAGATGTCACCCATGCAGAATTAAACATCCGCACTACGCCCCCTGTGTCCCATTTCCTTGAGGTTGAGAAGACAAAACTTACTTTTAAGGATTAGCATTAAAGGTCGCTGCAGTAATTTTTTTGGATGGGCAAAATCCCCTGTGATTGAGGGGCAACGTTGGAAGGATATTCTAGTAAGAATAGCCCGTATTACAGCAGCTCAGAAAGGAACCCAAGGCAAAGACTCAATGTAAGTTTTTAGCACTCTCACTGCTTTTAATGTTCACCACTAAAACCAGGAAATAACAGTAAACCATAAAGTGCTAAGCTAATATTCGTCCCTTGCAGGGGAGAAAAAAATAGATTTTTCAGGCATTGGTAAGGGCAACATTTTGTTTTCTTTCTCAAAACTCCCTGCTACCTCACCAATATTCATAATTACCATTTTTCTTTTTTCTTTTTAAAGAGTTTATTTGACAGACAGATCACAAGTAGGCAGAGAGGCAGGCAGGGGTAAGGAAGCAGGCTCCCCGCTGAGCAGAGAGCCCCGATGCCAGGCTTGATCCCAGGACCCTGAGATCATGACCAGAGCCAAAGGCAGAGGCTCAACCCACTGAGCCACCCAGGCGCCTCCTTTTTTTCTCAATATACATCGTTTTCCTATTTCCTTTACAAAGAATACATGTTTGCTGTAAAGGTTTCAAAGAACACTGTGAAGTATACGAGACTGAAATGCACCTAAAACCTCTTGAGGAAACCCTCACAGACCTCTATGCAGACCTGTGCGGTCTTCCAGATAATTTCACCCACTTGGAGTATTACATGAGACGCTTTTATTGTGGACACTTTTCTTTCATTCTCTTTTAAGAAAAAGCAACAGCAAAAAATTAAAATGACATTTTCACAAGGTAAGAAAACAGTGCAAACCATTAAAAAAAAAAATGGGTCTCGGGGCGCCTGGGTGGCTCAGTGAGTTAAAGCCTCTCCCTTCGGCTCAGGTCATGATCCCAGGGTCTTGGGATCGAGCCCCACATCAGGCTCTCTGCTCCGAGGGGAGCCTGCTTCCTCCTCTCTCTCTGACTGCCTCTCTGCCTACTTGTGATCTCTGTCTGTCAAATAAATAAATAAAATCTTAAAAAAAAAAAAAAATGGATCTCAATGACAAACTTTGCCTACCAGTCCCCCTGCTGAGATAAACACTTTTGGAAACCTGCTGCTTTTTTAAATTCTTCTGGTGGCTTCCATTTGAAATTTAAATGGTAGACTTACATTTGTATTTTTCTAAGTAGATTATTTTAATTTCGGTAATAGTTAACTATATTTGTATTTTTAATTTAAGAATGAATGTCAGAAAAGAGATTGAGTCCATAAAATAAAAACTAAAAATTCAGCATACTTAACACTCCTACTCAACTTTCTCCCTCTTTAGTTTCTAATTTTCGTTAGTATCAATACTTGTGCATGAAGACTTCTAATATTCACATATTTAACATAACAATGAGGTTTTCCCTTGTCTATGTTTCCCTTGTCTGTGTTGATACTAAAATTTTAAGCCCACTAAAAAAAAGGCAGTTACAGAATGATGACGATAGGACCTGCACAGCAAAAAATGTAATCCTGTGTCTTTTAATCCTGCAGCTCCCAGCAGACTGGCCAAAGGGGTAATTTTTAAAAGCTTTCCTTCAGCTTCTGTGACTATACGGATTTCATTGTTGCTCTAGTTTCTTATTACTTCATATTGTGTCCTCTCTTATTTCTCATTGTTATGCTGGAGAATTTCCCCAGAGAACTTTTTGTGCATATGTTCGACTGGGGGTGATTTCTCTGAGTCCACGTCTGAGCCCATTTTAATTCTGTCCTCACATCTGTTTGACAAAGTGGCGAGGTGTGGAATTTGTGGTTCCAAATAAATCCCCCTCTGAACTTGGATGACATCACTTCATTTGTTTCCAGTGATTGGGACGGACGCTAGTTCTAGTTCTCCTGTAAAATAGCCCTTTGATTCTCTCTGACACTCTTTAAGATTTTCTTTTTTTCCTCTCTTATAGGTGTTCTGACCAGGACATGTCTAGGTGTGGCTCTTTTGGCCTTTCCTTTGGATCAATTTCGGCGGGTCACATCAACCCCACAATTCATGTTTTCTACTATTTTTTCTCCTTTTCAATTTTGGAGCTCCTATCAGAAGGCTGTTGGTCATTTCGAATCCACTCACCATTCTGTTTTACTTTTCTTTCATGTTTTCCATCTTTTTACTGCATATTATAGAGATTTCCTTTACTTTTTCTTCCTGAAAAATAGCTTACTTTGTGCCCTGCCAGTTTATTTAATTCTATCTACTGTGAGCATATTTTCAGTTGCTAAGCATTGTTTCCTGTTGCTCAGCGGACTATTCCCATTTTATGGATATAATATTCCCTCAAGTCCCACTGAACTTATTAATTACAGTATTTTTCAAAGTCCTTGGCTGTGCTCTGAATTATCTGAGGTCAGATTTTTGGTTTATCTTGTTCTTTCTTTGACATATATTTCCTCAAATATCTTATGATCCTTGGTTTGGGTTGATATTTTGGAAGAAAATAATCCACATTTCTTTTATCATCATAATTCCTTTTTCTTCTCTAGCATTGGGTGGAGAGAAGGGAAATAAAGTTAAAAAGGAAACACTTTAGTTTCCCTTTAGTAATTAAGTTTTAACATTTAACAAGTTCTTTCTCTTTTTACTTTTTTAATTTTTAGAGAGAGAGAGAGAGAGAGAGAGAACACAAGCAGGGAGGGGGAGAGAAAGAATCTCCAGCAGGTTCCACACTCAGCACGGAGCCGAGGTGGGACTCGATCGCAAGACCCTGAGATCATGACCTGAGCCAAAATCAAGAGCTGGAAGCTTAACCAACCGAACCACCCAGGTGCCCCAATACTCAACAAATTCTTAATTATTTGGGGGAAACTGGGAATTTGTTTCAGACTCACAGGAGTGTGAGGAAGGGGAGAGAGAAACACAACGTCCCTGAAGTAGCAAATCTGCTTACCCTCAGATTCGCTCATCCGTAATGAGGGGTTCCTACTATCTGCATGGAAACCTAAAATACGCTTTTTCGACAATCTTAAAAAGCACAAAATCATCAGCAACGAAAAGCGCATTTTCAGCATTAGAATCAGCCTATGTTTTCCTCGCCCTGCATCCTCCCCCAAACTCTACTTCCGTTTGTTGTCATCTTCAGAAGCCACTTCTTCCGGCCCCCCTGGGGATGACTCGGGGACAGAGATGCTGCGCGCCCCGCTCGGGAAAGCGGCTGCGGTGAGCGCGCCCGCGGGCACGCGCCCCTCACCTGCTGCGTGGTGCTGGTGACGATGCCCTGCTGCAGGCGGTAGGCCTGCTCCTGCAAGTACTTCCGGGTCTCGTGATTCCGCAGCAGGTAGTTTTCGATCTGAAAAGCAAGCACACAGATCTCTCAAGGACACGCCGCGACTCGGTTGAGGGTGAAGGGAGAAGCGAGAAACAGCGAGGTGCTAAACTTGGAACCGGAGCTCAGACTCGCTGACCCCACGCCCATGACCCCGTGTAGACCGGAAGTGGGCTGTCACCGTGATGCACTCTGGGAGTGCGAGTCAGAGACGGAACCCGCGGGTCCTGGGAGCAATCTGATGTGACTCGGTCGCTGACAAAGATTAGCGAGGGTCTGAGTGCCCCGCCGTTGAAGACCCCACGTGGTGACTCCCTGCTTTCCCTCACGAGTCTCTCCCTCACGAGTCCTTAACCACCCAACAGCTGCAAAGTTAAATAAATGTGCCAAGGTGTACAGGTGGCAGCCTCTGAAACTCTGAGCCTTTAGGAGGCAGACTCCATCGGCACTGAGAAAACTATCTGTTTGAAGGGAAAAAAGGAGAAAATAGGTAGAAAATTTGAAGGCCACCAGCTGTACAACACAAAGACATATACTAGTTTCATTAACTCACGAGGTCTTCACGCTATCTCAAAAACAGGACTGATTTTAGCAAAAGTAGAGAAAATATGAGAACAGATTTCCACAGAAAATCATGCTTGAAGCTGCCTGAAGTCTGTATTTTTAGACACAATCTCCTATTAAAAATTCAAACATACAAATGATGACCAGATGGAAATGAAGTATTTAGAAGAATATGCATGGGTCTACACTGAATAAGAACGGGGTTAACTGCTGGGACTGATGGGCGTGTATGAAGATGTCTGCAAAGAATGATTCGGGATCAGTAATTGCACCATCTGGGTTTTGGTTTTTTTTTTTTCAGTTGTTGTTTTCATTTGTTTTTAATAATACCACTTAACCGTTTGGCTTTAATTTGTCACTGTAGTTCCCTGGTTAAGAACTTCTAATAACTGTGAGTCTCTCCATATTATTACATTTTCATTTTAATTTTCCACATGCTAAAATGACCACTATTTAATACCAATTAGAGACAATTAAAATGCAGACTATAATTACTATCATCCATGGAAACCATAAAGCAGAACGAAATGTACCTTTCTACTAAACATAAGTGAAGGAATTATAAAAATGAAGAGATCCCTGAAATGAAACATCGTTTAAGTGACACATTAGGACCATGGCATTTTATTATATTAATTTTCTCTTCTGCTTCCCCCAAAGTCATGTCCTTCCAAGGTGACATTACCATCGATGGGAAATGTTTCGCCAAAAAAAAAAAAAAAAGATTCCTGCCTGAAATATAACAGGTACACACTGCCACCCAGCTTTGGGTACTTTTGCTTTATTATTTGTCCTTTTGCATTTGATCTTGTTAAGCACTGTCCTGGGGGCCAGTTGTGAGAGCAGCTTGACGAGAGGCTCGGCTCACATATGGGCCATGCACCCAGGGCTGGCCCATGCATTTCCAGACTTTCTAGAGGGGTATCAATGGTGCTGCACAGACTAAGTCTGGAGGGATTTATTTATTTATTTATTTATTTTTAGAGGGGGAAAAAAAATTTAAAGCTCATTTCTAAAAGCCAGTGCAAGGGGAAAGAAGAATAACAATGATTCAGTTCCTTTAACATCAACCACTGGCACATCACCACTAAAAGGACTGCCTCTTAGATTAGCAGGATAAGCCTTCCTTCCCCAGACCATTCCAGGACAAGGACAGAGACCCCATGTCCTACAGGCTGAGGATGGAGGGCCTGATTGAAGATGGCGGGAAAGGGCCCAAAATGTCGTCGTTATATCTGCCAGTCCTCTTGGGCAGCTATGACCTGGACGGCCCTCTAGAGCCGATTGACACCTTCAGTCTCACTGCTGAAAACAGCATCAGCATAAAAGACAAAAAGACCTGTATTTCAATGTAGGAATCATATATTTAAAAACAAAAACCAAAACCCCCCCCCAAACTTCTAATGATTGAGTACAGGATCACAGTGTTATTCTTTAGTATAGTAAAATTAAAAAGCGTATTTCTTCTGGGGAATAGACTTCTGTTAAAATGAAATCTTCACGATATAAGAGTATATTAAGTATTATAGAAAAAAATGATAGGGATGCCCGGGTGGCTCAGTGGGTTGGACGACTGCCTTCGGCTCAGGTCATGATCCCGGAGTCCCGGGATCGAGTCCCACATCGGGCTCCCAGCTCCATGGGGAGTCTGCTTCTCCCTCTGACCTTCTCCTCGCTCATGCTCTCTCTCACCATCTCTCTCTCAAATAAATAAATAAAATCTTTAAAAAAAATGATAAATGTCAGCTTTAAAGTCACTAATTTTTCATTAAAGAAAACACAAATTTTACAATTAACATATTTGTAGATGAGGCATTTCTTCTGTTTTTTATGTCCTCTCTTTTTCTGCCTTAAGTATTGTATATGATTACACTTTTCTCTCCTTCCTTAGTATATTGACTACACTTCTTCTAAAATTGTTTTTAGTAGTTGCCATAGTGTTTGCAATATACAACTATTTCAAGTCCACTTTCACAGAATGCTATACCATTCTGCAACTGGTACAGCTTCCTTTTAAGAGAGTACCATCAATTTCTTCCTTTCCTCGTAACACTGCTATCTTTGCATGTTTTGATTTCTCCTTCACTTTTTAAAAAAAATATTTATTTATTTATTTGTTTGTTTGTTTGAGAGAAAGAGAGTGGGGGGGGGTAGAGGAAGGGAGAGGTAGAGGGAGAAGGAGAGAGAGTGTCCCAGTCAGACTCCCTGCTGAGCGTGGGGCCAACTCAGGGCTGGATCTCACATCTCACAGCCCTGAGATCACATTCTGAGCTGACATCAAGAGTTAGACACACAGGGGCACCTGGGTGGCTTGGTGGGTTCATCCTCTGCCTTCAGCTCAGGTCATGATCTCAGGGTCCTGGGATCGAGCCCCGCATCAGGCTCTCTTCTCGACAGGGAGCCTGCTTCCCTCTCTCTCTGCCTGCCTCTCTACCTACTTGTGATCTCTCTCTGTCAAATAAATAAATAAAATAAAATTAAAAAAAAAAAAAAAGAGTTAGACACACAGCTGACTCTGACACCCAGGCGCCCTCTCCTTTACTTCTGAAGAAGATTTTGCTAGATACAGAATTCTAGGCTGCTGAAGTTTAAATATTTCATTCTACTTTCTTCTTGCTTGTATGATTTCTGACCCAAAGTCTGTTACAATTCTTATCCTTGTTCCTCAACATGTAAGGGCTTCCTGCCTTATCCCCAGCTTCAAGATTTTCTCTTTATCTTCGGTTTTCTGCAGTTTAAACATGCTATCCCTACATGTAGATTTTTGGGGATATTTATCCTACTTGGTGTTCTCTGTGTTTCCTCAATTTGTGGTTTGGTCCCTGTCACTAAATTTGGAAAATTCTCAGTCATTATTATTTCAACTACTTCTGTTCCCTTGTCTTCCTTCTCCCTCTGGCATTCCCACTGTGTGGATGCTCTATCTTTTGTAACTGTCCCACAGTTCAGGAATATTCTGTTCTGGTTTTCTCCTCCATTCCTTTTTTTTCTCTTGCTTTTCAGTGAGAAATTTACATTTACCTATCTTCAGGCTCAATGATTCTTTCTTTAGTTGTGTCCGGTCCACTGATGAGCTCATAAAAGGCATTTTTCATTTCTATTACAGTGTTTCTGATGTCTAGTACTTCCTTTTGATTCTTTCTTAGAGTTTCTATCTCTCTGCTTACATTACTCATCTGTTGCACGTTTTTTACTTTTTCCATTAGCGTCCTCAATATACTCATTAGTTATTTTAAATTGTCTGGTAATTCCAAAATCTGTGTCATATCGGAGTCTGGTTCTGATGCTTGTTTTGTCTTTCATGATGCATGTTGTAATTTTTTTAAAAAATTTTTTGTTGTTGTTGAAAACTGGATATGATGTATCTGATAACAGAAACTGAGGTAATCTAATCAGGCTTTTAATGTGCAATTTTATGATAATCTGGCTAGAAGCTGAGTTATGCTGAATGCTTCAAAATCAAAAAGACTTTAATCTCTTCCCATGTCCCTGTTTTTATCTCCTTGGTTACTTTGGGGTTTCCCTAGAAATCCTTTCTTAAATAAAGTATCTTATAGCTTTGCTTATTTGTAATCTGCTGTTATCACACTTGATGTGTTGGTAAGGTATTAGGGAAGGGAATAATTCTATAATCTTAAGATTAAATTTACGTTTTATTTAGTGGGACTGAGTTCCTGGGCTGTGACCTGCCAAAGAATTTCTTGGCCTTTTTTTTTCCCCTTCCCTTCTGTGAAACAGGAAGGCTAGGATTGTCTGTCTTCTGCTTTGTCAGATAAAGCTCTGGTAGAGTAGTTTCCCTCAAGTGTAAGCCTCTATTATAGACAACAGAATGCTCCAGGTATATTTCAAAATGGCTACTTATTCCCGTCCCCCTACCAGAAACATGAGAGGATTTTTGTTCAATCTTTCCTGTTATAACTTGGTGGGGGCTCTTGGAGGTGAAGCCCATGAAGGGGTCAGGACCTTGCTAAGACTAGGCCCCTAGGAGTTTTTAACTCTTGGGCTAGTCAACACTAAGCCTCCAGAAATTCCTCAATTGCTGGTTAAACACTCCTCTGAGTTACTGGCCCCATTAGCTTCTGCCCCAGGTGAGCCGATCTTGACTTTGATTCATGGTGATTCTCTGAATCCCATCTGTCCAGTTACCAGAGTGACAGTTTCCTTTGCTTTTGCCTCAATTCTCTGATGGATCTGAGAAGAGTCACTGATTTTCTGTCTGTTTAGCTTTTTTCTTGTTGTGAAGATGGAAGTATGATGAGTGCCAAACTCTTGATCTGTCAAATCTAAACCCAGAAAACTGGTGTCTCTAGGATATGTCTTTTGTTACAAGTTGTTAATATCCTTTGGGAAAATATAAAGAGGTCTAACATTTTTATGTTGCTTTATAGTTTAGAAACTTTTTTTTTGCATACGCTAACTGGTTTGGTCCCTGGGCACCACAGGCAAATTACTTTGTCATCCTGTCCTTTGGTTTTCTTATGTGCAAAATGTGGACATAACAAATCTCTCATGGATTTACTGTAACAGATTATCAGTGTTAATTTATGTAAAGCATTTATAATAGTGTCAGGTCCCCAGCACGAACATGGTTCCTGTCTAGTTGTATGTTTTATAGAGACAAAGAAACCAAAGTTCAGAAAAATTAAGTAACTTATGGAAATTACAAAGCTGAAAAGAGTTTGATTTGGTCAGATCTTTTTCTTTTTTTGAAGATTTTTTTTTTTTTTAATTTATTAGAGAGAGAAAGAGCACAAGTGGCACGGTGGGGGGAGCAGCAGAGGGCGAGGGAGAAGGAGGCTCCCTGCTCCCTGCTCAATGTGGGGCTTGATTCCAGGACCCAGGGATCATGACCTGAGCTGAAGAAAGACACTTAACCGACTCAGCCACCCCAGCCAGGTCTTTTGAATACAAATCCTGAATGATTCCCATTGCCACATCATGGCTTTCCCTCTCTCCACCCCCTACCTTATTCCCTTTTATTCAACCAAGTCTAAGGAGCATCCAAACAGGCAGGCCAGGCACTGTGCTAGCTGCTGAACAACTAAAAAGATGAAAAATACATAGGTTCTGCCTTCAAGGAGGCATGGTCTCTAGAGAAAAACATATATGGAATCAGATAACTTAAATGACATCACAAGGCCTGTGACAGACAAGCAAAGGAAATTCTGAGAAGACCCCCAACACAGGGGAGAAAAGAGGCTCTGAGAAGTTTCCAGATGCGCTCACACTTGCATTCAGCCTCAACAGACACACACAGTAGGTAGTGGGGAAAGCATGAGTGTCAACCAGACCAGAGCAGTGATTGCCAAATTTGCAGCCACCAGGAGAGTTTGTAAAAACACAGATTGCTGAGTCCCACCCCCCATTTCTGAGACCTAAGAATATGCATTTCTAACAAGTTCCCTGAAGTAGAGCAGAGCAAAGAGGCAGGCTATTAAGAGAAGGAGGTAGCAGTGGATAGGAGGCAGATCCTGGGTGGAATTTTATACCAATTCAAGGAGAGAAGGTTCTATTCTAAAAGCCGCTGGGGTGGGGAGGGGGCGCCTGGGTGGCTCAGTGGATTAAAGCCTCTGCCTTCACTTCAGATTATGATCCCAGGGTCCCGGGATCAAGCCCCACGTCAGGCTCTCTGCTCAGCAGGGAGCCTGCTTCCCCCCTCTCTCTCTGCCTGCCTCTCTCCTTACTTGTGATCTCTGTCAAATAAATAAAATCTTAATAGCCACTGGGGGCCAGGGATGGAATGGGGAGAGGTGGGCTAAAGATGTTAGTTTGTTCCAATGTGCCATGAAAGAAGAAGGCTCTTTTTGACCGCGACAAAGAAAACAAACAAAAATCCTCCTGAGAAATGATGAGCCTTGAACAAAGCCATCCCTGAGAGGAAGAGAGGGGAAGAAAATGAAGGAAGAGGTTTCTGCTGCGCAATCTGTAAACTGGACAATGGCATGGCTCTAGAAGATGTGGGGAAGAAAAGTCAAGCGTGGGAGGCTTGGATGGTACCACCAGACGGGCAAACAAAGAAGGAAGAAAGATTTCAAAGATGGCCCAGCGACCCCCACAGTAAATGTGGAGTAGGCTTTCAGACGGGAAATCCTTAGCGCATCTAAACATGGAGAAAGGTAACCATAACCACAGAAAGAGAAGGATGGAGATGGGGCAGAGCAAGAGAATGCCTCTTGGGGCCAGTTTCCGGCCCAGGCAGAGACGGTGGGCTCACAGGCACGTGGATGGCTTGGCTTTGAAGGCGGGGGGGAGCCCCGTCGTCCTCTGGGGTTGCCAGAAAGGAGGCGGGAAGGGGTGTGGAGTGAGACGCATCTATAAACAAAGATGGTAAAAGGAGATCCCATCCGTAGCCTCAGTTTCTTAGTAAGAAAAGAAGGAAAGTGGGGCACCTGGATGGTTCAGTCGGTTAAGAGTCCAATTCAATGTTGGCTCTAGATCTCAGGGTCCTGGGATCAAGCCCCGTGTCGGGCTCTGTGCTCGGCAGGGAGGCAGCTTAAAATTCTCTCCCTCTCCCTCTGACCTCCCTTCTATTCTCTCTCTCTCAAGTAAATAAGTAAATCTTACAAAAAAAGAAAGAAAGAAAGAAAGAAAGAAAGAAAGAAAAAGAAAGAAAGAAAGAAAAAAGGAAAGAAAGAAAAGAAGGGAAGGTACTAGCTGCTGAGGAAAAAGTTGTGCTGACCCTCAGTTCCACACATTCTCGGAAGGACGAACGAGAAGCTGTGTGTGCTGGCACACTAATGGTCCGAATGTTATTCCACTTAAATTTTAGGACAAGTTTTCATCTCTCCTATGTCATTCCTCCCCCAGTCATATAGGATGTCTGCCGTGACCACAAGAATACAAGCTCAGGGGAGAAAAGCTTCGGAAAATACGGAGTCCTGTTTATACGTTCAGAATTATTACTAACAAAACCCGATTCAAACGTGAGTTGATGACCATGGAGCTAGTGATTCTCCGGTACCTTTTGCAAAGCCTCTTCTGTTTTTTCAGGGTTTGTTTTCAGGGCTTGAGAAGCGTCATACATAGGGATCGGCATAAATCTCAATGTATAGTTCCTAGAAAATGGAGAAAAGGATGCTTATTTTAAAATAACACCTCACTACCTTCATTCAGCACTCTTTTTTTTAAATCCCGAGAGAGCTGCCAGTGTGTATTATAAAATTTCAAACTCACAGCCTATCTCAGAGCCCTAGCTCACAAGCCTGCTTTCTCTAGGGTGTGTGTGTGTGCACCCACGGAAACCCACAGCACCTACGGGAACCCACAGCACCCACGGCGGGCACCCGCGGCAGCTCGTGTTGTCTTCTAACGGCAACACGATTGGAAGGCATCTGGTTTTGTTGCTTTCAAATCCAGATTTTCAAACTGGGTCGAGAGAGTGGCTGGGAGGTTAAGTCCAGCATCCGCCGGCTACTTGGTTTTCGTCACCAATGGATCTGAACGTCCTCAGAGCCCCACAGGGGCGACATGTGACAGCCAGCCCCCAACCGAGAAAGGAAAACTAGGAAACAAAACCCAAACACCTGCATGCAAAGCAAGGACAGGAGTATCAGCAAAAAGTCTGTTCAGGCTCTGCGCCCCTTTCAACAAGGAGGCCCCCAAGCGGCCATGGTCTTTGGGAAAGCTGCCTGGCTCAGCGCCTTGACCTCTGCAGGTCCTCACAGGCCCCTCTTGCACACGGCCCACATCCACACGACTCTCTGCTCCCAGAGAAGCAACTTGTGGAAAACTGTGTCCCTGGATTATCTCCCTGCTGCTGACCAGCTGCTGAAACCCAGGAGGGCAGCGGGGAGTCATCTCTGTGTCAGGCAAACAGCACGGAACCCCAAATTTACACCCTGGCCTCGGACTCCACCCCTTGCACCTGCTCCCGGACCACACACTCACCCCAGAGATGCCTCCTCTCTCCTGCCCCAAACACATCTGTCCTTTGCGACCCCATGGCACTCAGGAACAAAGACCTTTGGAGCCACGTGGGGACAAGTGGGGTCCCCTCATGCACTGAGATCCCACAGTTGGCCGCCCTGTCAACACTAAGCAACACTCAATGGTGTGATTCTTGTAGATACTGAGAACTTCTACTAGAAAAGTCAACGAAAAACTCGTTCCCAAAATAAGGTACTAATCATGAAGAATGAATAAAAAGAAAAAAAAAAATAAGCAGCCATCTTAATCATAGCGGTCATCTGTATGGGTGCTACCTAACGGGGAAAAAATGTCTTTCAGTCCAGCGTAAGGGTGGTTGAACGCAGGATAACGTGCAAAGAAAAAGGCTGCCATTTCCATGACTTCCATTTTTTCACCTTGGCCTTGTTTTAGCAGAACTGATTTTGTTTGATTTCAGAGGGGCCAGCCAACTGAAACGAGGAGACAGTGCATCTGTTTTTGAGCCTGGAGCATTTTCCTTGGCCTCATCCAACAGTGATCACGCGGCAGACCAGTGTACTTTATTTAAGCCAGATGGGGTTCTGGGGCCACTGGCATTGTGGAGCCGAGTGTAGCTAACAGACTAAGCCGGGGAGTGCTACCATCAATCCAGAAATGCTGAGTACCAGTGTGCAGGTTCTTGGCATCTCACAAAGACCAGTGTGGGCTGAGGCAGTCCACAGCAGAGGCAACTGTGCTGTTCGCACCTAAATGTAGCTATTTGTAAACAACTGTTTCCATTCGAAGGTTTCCTGGTGCAGTGAGAGTAATTATAGGCGGAAGGTTCCAGGCAGAGGCAGAGCAAGCTGCCTTATCCATATTTAGTGACCATCTGTGGGGGCAGCCGCGGTGACCTCCTGGCTACATCAGAACCCTGGGATTTAGGACTGGAGCACACTTAGGGATAATTAACTCTGACATTCTCCCTCTATAAAAGAAGCTTTAATCAGAAAGGAGCAATGCTTTGCTCAAGAGGATAGGCGTGGTGGTGACAGAGCTAGGGACTGAATGGAAGGCTTGTATTTCCAAGCCTAGGGTTTTATCCATGACACCTAGCTAGGAATGAGCGCTCCACCTGGGAGGCCTCACACGTGAAGGGGAATCTGGGAAAAACACCAATAGTGAGCATTCCCCGACCCCTTCCCTAGGGGACCAGCTTCTGTGCTACTGGTCCCTTATTTCCCACCCACATTCTGTAACCTCTCATTTCCAATGCTGCAAACCTGCTTTGATCACTCCTGCCTTCAGAATACAATATGAGGACGGAAGAGCTCAGAAAGAACCCGATTTCTAGAATTTCTTCCAGCCATCTTTGTAGTATTGCCTCGTTTTGTTTACTGGGAAAGTAAATTTGACAATAAACAATAATTGTAGGCTTTAGTTACCATGGTAATAAAGAAAGCCTTTGATAGTAATGAGACTAACTTGAGCCTGCTATCCCTCGATTTTGGTATTTTTTTCGGGAGCTCAGCTTTCTTTGCCCCACTGTATTCAAAGTTGTCATAATGGGCAAAAAAGACACGACTGATGGAAAGAGAATGCGAAACCATGAGGAAAAGCCAGGTGAACACTGGGTGGGCCTCTCCACCATGGTCTCATTTAATCCTCACAACTGTGGTGGATCCCTGCCCTTGTGGCCCAATGAAGAAACGGACCCCAGAACAAAGTCCTTGTCTTCTGGGTCTCATGGCTGGGTAGCATCGGCTGACTCAGGCCTAGATCTTCTGGATCCAAATTCCTTGCTACCTCCATCACCCCATAGGTAATACAGACCCCACTGGTTCTTTTGTATTGTTCCAGAAAGAAGTCGCAATTAAAACTTACTTTTCCATTGCAACAGCTATATCTTGAAAGCCTTGTGCGGTAATGTTATTCTTGTCCCATATGACAGTCCTGTTGGGAAACCACATCACATAAATGATCAGACACTTAGGGATGGAGGAAATGATTCCCCCCAGTGAAGATGAAACTCTTACAGACAACATCATCTAGATATTTTAGCACAAGAGGCAAGGAATGACATCAACTTAGTTTTAAACGCAGCAAGGATGAGCATTTCCGCCGAAATTACATTCTTAACCCATTCACTGCTCACACAGTGTGAGAAAACCATACTTCAAAGCAGCGGTATCCTCGTTAACTTGCCATGATGTTACCCAGTGCTTGGTAGCCAGAAAACTCTAAAACTTGATTTCTCTGATACTCTCTCAACATATTCTCCCAATAGCATTCTAGTACTCGTGTCGGAAGTGAGAGCTGTTTATAAGAGATTCTGAAGAACCCCTTGTCCAACACAAGAATTTTGGGTCCTGAGACTTTTGTCCATTCTAAGTAACTTGAAGGAATCCAGTCATACTGTCTTCTGTTTTCACCATTGCCCTGACATGCTACGACCAGCCTCCCCAGAAAGTTCTCACTCTGCTGGTAAACCTCTGGTTTCTACAAATAAGATGCTGTTTCCTTTCTCAACAAAGAACCTATTTTGGAAGAAAAGTACTATTTCACTTTCAGAAGGTGAACACATTGGAGGTATTTTGGTGTTTGCAAGTTCACCTGCTACATGAATCAGCTTTTATTTGTCTGATCCAACAATCAGACTTCTAACTGCTTTCCCTTCCTGATCTCATGGACTTTCCTTACATACACTCGGACCTTCAAGAAACGGTTGCAGATTTTGGCCTTGGTGTAGATGGAAGGTTCGGGAGGGCAAGGGAAGCATCAGGAAAGAGCCCCTTGAAGAGCAAATGTGAGTTAAATATTTGTTCACCGAACTGCTGGACTCGGGAGTGGCTGGAGCTCTCCGAAGGATGGACAGGAAAGTGGTCCTTAATAAAAGTGGTTACCACGTAGCCAGCCCTTAAGAAAAGCCACACTTGAGAAATGCCACGAGTGGTTGAAAATCACCACCCAGAATAGCTAGCCCCCAGGATGAACCTGCCTTTAACCAGGGCACCTCCTGCATCCCTCGGGTTTTAAGTCTTTATACTGGCAGCAGTGGGGGAGGGGAGGTAAGACAGGCTCACAGCCAAGGACGGGAGGCTGGCGTATTGGACCAGTGGTCTTTCCTCCCAGCTGCTGACACTGTGAAACGGGACACGGCCCCAGTCCTCAGTTGGGTTTTCTGCCACAGTGGAAACCTTTAAGACAACAGCTCATGGGAATCACAATGTCTAACTTTGGACCCCGGCCCCAAAGCCTGCAATCCCAAGTGTTTTGACAAAAGACTTGAAATGGTTGCCTCTGCTTCCCAGCTGGCCTTCCCTACTGGGCACAGCCAGCTCTCCAATGCTGGGGGTGGGGTGGGGAGCTGGAATCTTTTCCAGAACTTTCTAAGGCCCTGCTCGGGGCGAGCGTCCTCGTGTCAGGGCTGAGGGCCTGACCCGTGTACCTGAGCTTGGTGTTGATCTGAAGTGCTTTGGCTAACATCTTCGCGCCCATGTCCCCCATGCCATTCCCGCTGATGTCCACTTTGGTCAGGGAGGTGTTGCTTCCCAGGGCGTTGATGAGGATGGTGACCTCAGTCTTGAGCTTTGAGTCGGCCAGGGACAAGGACTGCAGGGGCTGAGGAGGGAACGAGAGGCAGCAAGCAATGACATGATCTGACGGAGGAGTCTCCACTCCCTGTGACCGTTTCATGGAGAATCACTGGGGTAGGGAGTGGTACCTCCTGCACGCACCGCGCCCCCCAACCCAACATTTTGCTTTGAAACTCCGGCTCAAAGATGCTGATGAACAGGACCCGAAGGTTCGGGATAAACACAGACAAGTTGTGTTTCAGTGCTGACCCCAGGCCACCTCTGTCCACCTCTCTCCTAAGGGAAACGTGGAAGGATACCTGGAGTGGCAGAGGTCAGCTCTTTGGAAATGGGAGGACAGGAAGAAATAAATAAGGAGAGTCCACAGAAATTCCTGAGCTTCTGTATGGCTACGCTATCCCTTTCTACCCATTCTATTTTTATGCCAGGTGAAATGACATCTTAAAATACTAGCGGAGGACAAATGCAAAATAAAAGCCAGCCAAGATCAGTAATAGCTGACATTTACTGAACACGTACCGTCCCTAACCACCGGTTCAGCTTTTCACACGTACTTACTCAGAGAATCACCCAACACTTATGTGCTATTATACTCGGTATTGTTATCCGTCTCCCAAATGAGACACAGAAAGGCTAAGTGACTCAAGCGAGGCCACAGAGTTAGAAAGTGGCTGAATGGAATGGATTTTGTACTCTGGGCCTCTCGTAGCTTATCCTTGACCCTTTTGATGACCCTCCTCCACTTTATCTTAGAAGAACCAATCAGAAGACACACAATTTTTAAGAAAAGACAAAAAGTCAAACCATGTGGCCCAGAGGCAGGTTCTGTCTGCCCCTGAGGAACTTGTTTAGGCCTCTGGCCCAGCCCCGTTGGCACCTGAATTTGCAATCCCTGAGTTCAGCCAGAACGGAATTAAGGAAGTGAGTAAGGAAAATTCTAGAACCCAAACCAACATGGCCCCAACTGTCCGAACTCAGTCTTCCCTGGGGGATCTGGACGTCTTCCGGGTTGCTTCAGGTGGTCTTGAGGGGCCCAGCCATCCGACACAGTTCTAGACACTTACTCCATACGCACACTGACATTACAGTGAGGGGGACACCAGAAACAGTGGCTCGGCCCGTCCATGCTCCACCACAGCCCGTGGGTTTGGGGCTTTCGAGATGTGCCTGGAGATGCTGCCTGGCGTCTATCTGTACCCACACTCGACCACCAGATGCTGACTGGTTCAAGATGCATCGGCAACAGGGCTGCAGGAGGCTGGATGGGGACGCTAGTGGCTTTAAGACTCCGTCACCCACAAAGCAACGTCACGCATTTGACTATAGTTCTACCAAGTGACCACGCTTCCCGTCCTCCCTGTCCAAATCTGCCATGTTTTCTAAACTTCATACAGCTACAGTAAAAATCACAAGGGAACATATCAACGTGACTCAAATTTCTGAAATGAGAGGACACTGAGAACCGGACAGCCCGCTGATGCTTAGACATAAGCAGCTTCAGCAAGTTTGCGTCGATGCGAAGATCCCACACTCCAGGAAACAGAAAGAAACTGAACTACAATGCTTCAGCCTCAGGAACCTTCAGGTTTCAAATGAAAACAAATGCGGTGTTCCTTTAATAAAAAGCTCGACTTCCAACGCTCGTCATTTCAGTAATCTCTATTCAAGTACTACAAAAATGATATATTACGGCTCCTTCCTCATTCTGGAAAGCTGCCAAGTCTCCAAGCGAGTAAGCGCTGATTCCAGTACTATATTCAAACTCCAATCCACCCCAGTTAACCCTTAAAAATAATAGGCAGAGCCATTAACGCGAGCGGAACAGCCTGAGGTGCACCCATATTTATCAGGTCACCCCTTCCTGACTTCCTGCACTTTCGTGGAAGCGTACTGTTTGAAATCTTACTTTTCCTTTTCACAGCTGCACATGCTTAATCTGAGAATCTGCCTCCTTGCTACAGGCATTCCCAGGAGAAAGACGTTCGCTTCCACTGGTTACAACACGGGTTTGCCTGTAACACCCCAAAACAAGATTCCCTGTCATCTCGGCCCCTCCGCGTTACTGTCTCAGCGCTCGAGACACGGTGGCCTGACAAGCACGGTCTGTAGTTGGAAGTGACACGGGAGCCCCGGCATCTAGATTGTTCTAACCAAACAGAATGTGCAGCACGTGGCGGAGACCGTATTCCGCAAGCTGTCAAAGAACAGGTTCTGTACACACAAGGTCGGAGCGTACAAAGCAAGTGATGATTTTATATATGTAAAAACCTTCAAAAAATAAAAAGAGAGCCCAATTGTGTCAGTCATGGGCGGAATTTTGAGAGTCACAAGCCTCAGCTCTTAATCATTCTGAATTGTTTTGCACATTACTAATTCAGAAGTAGGAAAAAATAGAAGGTAATTGCTTTTTGAAAAAACCACCTACTTTTCAGTGACATGAACACAAAGAGCTTTCTTTCCACTGTATGTGATTAGTGCCACACTTCTCGAACTTGTAACTTGACACAATTCACGTTGACGTAGGAAACTTTTCCGCCTGCAAATATGGTTTGAGGTGTGTTTTAACTATCAAGATTGTTTTTAAGTGAGGGACTTTGGAAATTACAGAAACAGAAGACCCTTGTGTAATAAGCAAAATGTGAAATTTTAAAATCTATTTTTCATAAAATGTAAATTTCCCTGAAATGTGCACTAGGAGACAAGTATTTGTGGATGGATGGCAAATGTGATTCTGCAGTATTAGCTTCCTCGAGCTTTTAAAACTGGGCGGAGACTGGGAAATCAGAAACCCAAAGCAGCGTGGTAGAAAGTCAAATTAAATAGGCAAAACTATATCAATTCTGATTTATGTCCCAGATTTTAATAACCCAGTGAAAAAAGTGACAGAACAAGGACAATGTTACCAAATGAGGACAAAGAGAAGGGCCCATATTCACTAAACAATAAGGAGTTTCACTTCTAGCCCATAGGTTGGAGATTATATTCACACAATGAAGAGGCGGGACAACCGAATTTTCTCCCGCCCTCTAGGTTAGAGCCACACAGAGAGGTGTGGGCAAGGACAGGCAAGGAGAAGTTCTAGTCTCCACCTCTCCTGGCCCCTTAGCTTGCTCAGAAAAGGTAGCTTACAGTCCTAATAGAGTTTGCTACTACCCTATATGGAACTCAAAAGGGAGAATGACACTTTTAATTTAAAAATGTGTCATATCTGGGGCGCCTGGGTGGCTCAGTGGGTTAAAGCCTCTACCTTCGGCTCAGGTCATGGTCTCAGGGTCCTGGGATCAAGCCCCACATCGGGCTCTCTGCTCGGCAGGGAGCCTGCTTCCTCCTCTCTCTCTGCCTGCCTCTCTGCCTACTTGTGATCTGTCTCTGTCAAAGAAATAAATAAAATCTTAAAAAGAAAAAAGTGTCATATCTCACATGATTCACAGAGGAAATCACTCTTATGACTTACAACACAACTGTCACAAAACATTAATTATGTGAGTCTTTGTCGGAGAACACACATTGATTTGGGTTTGAGGAACCGTAAAAGCTGGCTGGTGGCCAAATAAGACTCCAATAAGAACGGACAAACTTTTCAGAGCATCATTACAATGTAAGGCACAAAATATACAATACACCAGGTTTAGGTTAAAGGAATTAATAGTAGAGTGCTTCTTGCTCTGTTCACAAAATATCTTTTTCCTGGGGTGCCTGGGTGACACAATCAGTTAAACATCTGACTCTCAGTTTTGGCTCAGGTCATAATCTCGGGGGTCATGAGATCCAGCTCCGACTCCAGCTTCTTGTTGAGCGCAGAGTCTGCTTGAAATTCTCTCTCCCTCTCCCCCTCCTGCTCATGCTCTTGCTCTAAAAAAAAAAAATCTTAAAAATATGTATCTTTTCTTCTTTTCTTTTTTTCTAATGCATTTTAAAGGGCAGCAAGAGAGGATACGGTTTAAAATTAAATTTCTTTACCCTGAACCGCATCTTGGCCAGGAGCAACAAGAGGGAATACAAGTAGAAGGAGGACACTAGAGCTCTAGAAGAAATTCAAGACAGGTGGCCAGCTTTCTTAGTCTTTTATAATTCTGCATAATTGCCAGACGGAATTCAAATTAGCAAGATGATGTTTCCCAGCATGATATAAGGTCAGAAAGTCAACTAGATTGAAAAAATACTCATGCCTGCAGATTAGTGCATCAGCTGAAGTTAGGAAGTGTTAAGTCTTATTAAAAGATGGGCTTACAAGTCAATTTATACTTCTTTTAATCTTTTAGTTACAATCTTCCTTTAATTAGGAATGAGTTGAAATGAAGAGAAAGCAATTTTAAATATATTCTCTGACTGTACTAAAGCATAAATATTTATTTCATTAAAAAAACAAGAGAAATGGTGTCTACAGATAAAATTACCTGAAAGCATAGCAACATTAATTGGAATTAATACTCACCGATTCCTCGTCTTGAATCATCTGTACTAAGTTGTCCAACACAGGGGTCAGATTTCTAAAGAGATTTTAAAGATGTGGACAGTGGAATCAAATCAAAACTCTCACGAGGTTGCTTAGTTTCATCATTGTCATATAAAAAAAAATCAAAACTCTTACTTGGATTTCATATTATTAAAATTTTTGCCTAACGCCAGGTGCTGTATTGATCTGTTTTTACTGAGCCACACTATTAAGGTGGATAGGTCAGATTCTAAACCTGGAAAGAATCAGAGTAAGCAGATAATCAAAACACACGTGTATAAATAAATTCTCAGCTGGTACACAATTAAGCAAAGGTGACATGAACTTGGGTGACTTTCTCTACCATCCCGAGGGCCCTGGGATACTAACCTTTCATTTTCAAAGGAACTTTTTCGCTCTCTTTTCAAGTCCTATTATTTCATGGGGATAAACTCATTCTCAGCTAAGACTTAACCTAAATCTCATATACAATCAGTGGCTAAGTCCAGTCAGCAAGGAACAGGGAAAGGATGGGTCTCATCTCTGCCCACGACTGCGTAAGAGAAGATGCCAACATCCCGTTTGCTGGTAGGGGACTCCAGTGGCCTATGCCAACTAAACAGGCTCCCACTCATGCCCTACTATAACTGGCAGAAATGAAGCTACTGAAACAGTTTCTGAGTAAATAAATAATGATTTTATTTTATTATCACCAAGAATGCAGAAGGTTAGACCAAGATTGTAATCAATATTCTGGTGATAATTTTTTTTTAACTGACTTGTTCTCTTGCACTTTTGGCCATGGTATCAACTTATTAAGACTTTGGCACTGACGTATGCCATAAATAAATTCTGTTAAATTTAACAGCCCTATTAGTCAATAAGTGAGGTAACATGCCCATTAAGGTGTTGTCTAGGTTGGGCTTTCTGTTTTCCCCTTACTAACTTGCTTCAAATACTATTTCTGTTTCTTTTCTGATTTCGGACTTACCATTATCGGAGATATCTAAGCTGGTGATGTTGTGGATCTCGGCGATGCAGCCTTCTAAGACTTGTGCGCCTCCTGATCTCAGCTGGAGAAACACAAAGGACGTACGAGGTAAAGGGGTCACCTACTGGACGTGGAACCAGAAAACATGAAAAGCAGGAGATACAGTCTCTGACGTTGTGCCAAAGGCGTGTTCACTCTGTGGTTACCATCAATGGTAAAGAGCCAATCACTAGTCATTGCTACTGGTCCCCATAGCACTGAAATCAGGAAATGGCTAGAAAAAGAAACAGAAAGATGGGGACCATACTCCCCATCAGCATGGGCAATGCAGCCTCCATCAGCCCACAGACACTGTCTTCATTTCTGACTTTCGGGGAAACCTACAAATCCCTTTTATACATGAGAAACTGGTATGGATTTTGTTTGATTATTCCAGATTTCAGGGCAGAACTCCACCAAGTAACAGCAAAACAACCAAAGGAGACAAGGAAGATGAAGTCTTGTTGACTGTCAACCACTGCCTGAAGGACCCAGCCCGACGTCCCACTGAGAGGGGGTGTGGTCACACGGTTACAAAGCAAATGGCAAAAGGTGATTATGAAATGACTTGGGCAAACTCATTGAGCCACAGAAGAAAAAGATGTTAGATCAATTTAAAATATTATTATGGTTGGCTTATAGCAAAACTAATTCTCATTTCATGACCTCATTTATTTTAAAGAGACAGGCAACCTATAAAACTCAATACTTTGTATCCTTCCCCATCAAACCAAAAGCTACCTACAGAGGTCAGAGTATCTTTTTGTTTTCCACTCAGCAACTCTGTGAGTTTCTCTTACATGTAAAGGATTTTAAAGGATGCAGATTTCTCCCAAAGGGACGTATGGCCCCTTTGCTTGGCAAACTTACTATTTAACAAGGGAAAGAAGCTATCATTTATTGGGAACCTATTATGTACCAAGGGAATACGGTGGCTTCCTTATTGATAGAAGAAAATTAAAAATGTATCTTAATTTCTATACAAAGTGTAAAATGCAAAATGCTACTTCCTAGAACTTGTGCAAGTTTAGATGTAAGAATTTAAAGAATCCTTATTTCACTATTTTAGATGCAATGTTTTTATGGTAGCTGGAACCAAAAGGGGCCAATTTCCCTGGCTGCTTGGGTGTCTGGAAGAGTTTTTGCACAGATCTTTGGGACTGCCCTTTATCCGGGAGTATTTTGGTTGGGCTGTTTAAATTCAGCCTTTCCCACTTTCTGTGGTGACTGCAGATTCCTCTGGGGGGCCTGAACTCTAAAGGGGAGTGTCACACAGAGACAGACCTGGCTGGGAGGCTGGTCTACACACTATAGGGAAACCTAGACCAATCAACACCCAGTTGAGGGGCTTTTACCCAGTACGTGGAGCAGTGGCCAAGAGTCAGCCGGTCATTTTACTACCGGTAGTTGTCTTCCCAGGAACTCTTGAGCTTACCCACAGGCCCCGAGCCAAGCTTTACCGCATCATCTCTAGACTGGCCCCAGCAGCCTGCTACTCAAAGTGTGGTCCATGGACGGGATGCAGTCTGCAAAGTTTGCTACTGGTCTTAGCTACAATACATACAGAAACTGACTATAAATGCTAAAATTATAAATAATTTTAGGTCTGCTGCGTCTATTAACAAAAAATGAAGGCTTATGTTTTACGTCTTTTGAAATCTTTTAAAAATATATTTTTATTATATTTTTGCGAAAGTATTGGTTTTTGATTAACTAGACATTTAAAAAAAAATAGTAACAACCAGGTTCTTCACCACGAATCATTTTGAGCAACAAGCCTTCAGAGCACAGCTTAATACTGGAAGAAGTGAATGTATGTTCAGGTTATGTCAAAGGTAAAGCAAAAGATATTTCAGGCAAACACTTCAAAGGAACATAATTTGATATTCAGAGCATGAAAAGACGATGCTTTTGAGAAGATAAACATAAGTGCCTAAGTCTCCACAATCTGATTATTTGTTGTTAGTGATGTCTCTGGTGAGAAGTAAAATTTCTACCAGAAAAATCTCGACTTGTTATTATTATCAAGTACAGTAAAAATATTCCATTTACAAATATGGAAAGTACAGGTGACATTTCAAGGGCTCAGTGCTGTTTATTTTACAAATACTCTTGACTGATAATATTTGTAGCACATACCCATAAAATGAACATTTTCCAATGGTTAAAAAGCAATCGAATATATCCACAGACCCTAATTTATTGATTCATAAAGTACTTACACAGTGGCCAAGCTAAGGAAAGCCCAAGGAGAAAAAAATAAAAACACGTTATCAGCAGTAAACAGAACAGAGATGCTGAAGCCTTTATCAATATATCAGGTAAAAAAGCAAGAGTCAGAAAAACACTTCCAACTAAAATCTGGTCCCAGAACCAAAGTCAAAAATTTAACGAAGAAAAGAATGGATCCTTGGTTCCCAAGAACATTCGATTGAATTCACAGGTTATTAGAGGCCTAAAACTCCCCCAAAGCTAAAGCTTCCGCAAAACAGTAAAAGCTTTTCCATTCCTGTAAGTGAAAATCCTTTTAAATGAATTTGCATAATTAGAGGCTGTGCCTGCATGTGTGCGTGTAAAACTGGTTTTTAAATTACCCTCATTTGGATCCTACACACTAGCATTATGGAAAAGAAAGCAAGATCAAAGACGAGTCAATGTGACTGAATCCCTGAGTACTTTTTGGAAAGTTAAAAATAAATGCACGTTTCTTTCCACAGAGAAGCGTCCTCTCACTCAAGAAAGGTGGGCACATTTCAGATGTGACTCACAGTTCTAAGTGAATGGTTGTGTCTAACCCTCAAATAGCCATTATGGGGACAAGAGAAGCAAGGGAAAAAGCCTAGACAGAACTTTTAATAATTCATTTTCCTTTGGAGCACCTGGGGGCCCTGTTGGTTGAGCGTCTGACTCTTGATTTCAGCTCAGGTCAGGATCTCAGGGTCCAGGGATTGAGCCCCGTGGCGGGCTCCCCATTCAGCAAGGAGTCTGCTTCTCACCCTCTCCCTCTCACCTCTCTCTCTACCCCCCTCTCTAAAATAAATAAATAAAATCTTAAAAATAATCATTTATTTTCCTTCTTCAAGATCACTTGCCATTTAAAAAGATGTGGCAAACATTATAGATTTTAGTATAAAATACCTCCCCCCAAATTATCATCATTTTTCTACAGGAGTCCCAATTTCAATTAAAAAAATATATATATATTTTTTTATCCTGGAAAATTTTCTCACATAAAACTGTGAACAGCATAGGTTTCTCCAAAGGACAAAAAAAAAAAAAAAAAAAAAAAAGAAAGAAAGAAAATGATTTGACAAGATTGGCTTCAAACTGTCCCCTTGCTAGCAGGGTCCGATGCCAAAAGGCAATTCAGAACCTACGAAGACAGATACAAACCATCATTTCCTAGGTGCAAACAGTTGTGTGTCTCATATTCTTCCAATATACTTCCTGCTGTGACAGCAGTTTCCACTTTGTGACCCACATGTGGGGCCCAACAGGAAACTGATCTGTGGGGGGGTACCACAGTTAGACCCCCCACCCCACACACAGGACACATTTCTTCACACCTCAAAGCCGGTGGACCACTATCAGACTGGACAGCATTGCCTCAAAAGTTCCTGTTCGCTCGCTGTGACGTCCCACTCATTACATGTTTTAGCATCTGGGCCTCTTCTTTCCACACATCATCAAAGCATCTTGCCATGAACTGTGGAACGATGTGCAGGGAAGTCTCTCCTTCAAAGAATGAGCCCTACACCCAGACCTACACCTAATTTTCAGCTGTAATTAGCCTTTGCATCTCCTCTGAAGCCTCAGAGATTTTGCTCTCTCACTTGGAAGGTGAATGTGTTGGAAGAAGGCAGTTGCAGCACTGACCTGCTCTCCTGAAGTAGGTGTAAAAAAGATTTCTCAACATGGGCCAGAAGGACAGACCCACTACCTCCCTTGTGATAGATGGGTACGTGGGAGGATACATCCGAATGCCAATTTCACTGCAACCATATAGAACAGCTCTGAAATGCCTCTTTGGAACTAACCTTGGAGGCAATGGAACACATTTCTTTGAATGTAGACATGGATGCTGAATCCTTACCGTTTCAGAGTGAATTCGGATCAGCCACAGGCCATTCAGAGACCATATGGTTGGGCCATATAGGGTGATACGGTTTTGTGTCTGATATCAGGCATAACTATAAATGGGTGAAACTAATTCTTCTTTTTTTAAAATTTTATTTATTTATTTGACAGACAGAGATCACAAGTAGGCAGAGAGGCAGACAGAGAGAGAGGGGGAAGCAGGCTCCCCGCTGAGCAGAGAGCCCGATGTGGGGCTCGATCCCAAGACCCTGAGATCATGACCTGAGCCGAAGGCAGAGGCTTTAACCCACTGAGCCACCCAGGTGCCTGAAACGAATTCTTCTTGAAAGTTTTAAAATAATTTTGAAGGCAATTCCCAAAAATGTTTCCGAAAAGGCAGAATATTTACATGGCTTCTAAAGAAGAATTTGCAGAAAGGCCATACTGCCCCATGCTGTGAATTCGGACATTCAAAATAAGGCTTCACTACAGTAATCCTCTTCCTTCCCAAATTATGGCTCACATGTGTCGGGCTCGGCACAGTGCCAGATACTGTCCTATAAGCTGTTAAATCTTCATTCCATAGGTGAGAACCAAAGGCTGAAGGAAGACAAGCCACGTGGCTGAGTCAGATTTCAAAGGATGCCTTTCTGATTCCAAAGCGCCCACCCTTTGTGATGACCCCTTGTGTCTCCTATGACTACTTGTACTCCTTTTCCTAGAGGGATGAGTCCTTGTTGGTACTGTAAAGACCAAGGGAAGGAAAATGAAGTGGTAACATAATTCATGGGGGACACCTTAAGAAAGGCAGATGTTTTCTTCTCTAAGTGGAGACGATATCTGAAAATGAAAGCTCAATGTCAATACTTATTAGCTTAGCCCTTACGGATCAAAAGACTGAAGCCTCAAATTTTGGATTCAGGTTTCCAAAGAACAATGACGTTTGCGTTGGAGGAAAAACACCTGCCTGGTACTTTCATTTTTAATAGCAGTAGGTATAAATGTCCACTCTTATTCTAACTGATGAACGTGAAAAGACTCCTTCAGGGAAATACAGAAATACTCTGAGACCCACAGGGACAGCTCATTGGGCGAGGTGAGCACCGACAGCGAAGGATGCAGCAATGCTAAAATCAAAAACCATTTGCTTAAGCAAAGCTTTCTAAGTTTCCTATGTAGACACTTAAAAAAAACCTACTCAAGTGTAGTTGACACACAGTGTTGTATTCATTTCACATGGACAATATAGTGACTGAACAATTCTATACATTAAATGTTCACGATGGTAAGTGCAGTCCCCACCTGACACCATAGAACGTTATTACAATACCACTGACCATATTTCATCTCTGTAAACAATTCCAACTTGAGAGTTACTTTCCTCTCTCCTCCCAACTGGTCTCAACCACCATCTGAGACAATAGCCATTTATTTTCTGTAACAGCCACACAAACCCGATTTTAAAATTAGCCAGTGGTAAGTAGCTATTGTGTAATAAAAGGAACTATTTACTTCTAAATAGACAAAGACTAGGCAGTATTTCACGTTTGTTCTTTGTTTCCATGGATGGGGTAGACCATTGTATGAGAGGCATTGTTAGGGGATGATGAACTCGTTCAGTGCCCACATCAGCAACCATCCAGCATTATACCATGGACAGGTGACTTTTTTCAGGTCAGCCCCTCACCTCGACTCAGTCATATCTGAGGAAATGACTTCCAAAATGACATGGTGTCAGGGAGAAGTTTTACTTCCCACCACCGCAGGTGGGAAATTTATGTGATCATGGGGAACATGATGTGTGGAATTCTTGCCTGATTTTGACCAGCATGTGTGCAGTAGAGGGGATTGTGTCTAATACGGCTAAAGAGATAATGAACAGAAAAAAAATAGATACATGCATAATTTTAAACTTCCAAGTGGGCGACAGACTTTTTCTGAGAGTACTACCTCAGCTCTCAAGTGTCAAATAATTAAAGGGTTAGCAGTTAATCCTTACATGGCCAAGCATTCTAAGCAGATAACATCACAACCCCAACACCTTTACAGGAGACATTCAGTCCACCGTGCAGAGGAGCAAAGTGAAACCTAGTTAGATCTGGACACCTGTCCGTAAGAAGAAAAATGTGACAAGACACCTAAATTTAGAAAAATCATTTGGTGTTTCACCAACTTCCACGAGCAGCAAGATAAGGTGACTTTACAGACGTGGCTACCGGGACCGTGATCAAGCGTTAACGTGGTGGGAGAACATAGTACCCCAGTAGTCTGAAGGCTTCCCATTTCTCAGCAGTACCACCATATCACAGAATCCATAAATGAATGGCCAAAAGGAAGCCGTGACTACCATCATTGTAACGGCCAACCCTACCATCAGAGAGCAATCATTTGATCTGGATTCCTGCCTTAGTAAGAAAAAAATTATAAAGGAAAAGTCTACTAGCCAGTGGATAGAACCATATGAAATCGCCAACAGTCTGCCATTTCTGACCTACAAATATGTCGATTTTATCGGTTCGCCAATAAAACGGTCTTTGAAGGTTATCCATAGTCGGATCACAAGGGAGTTTAAAGAACAGGCCACATAGCGATTTAACAGGGTTCTCTGGGCATATGGCATCTGACAGCTTCTTTGAGAAGAGAATGTCTAATCATACTTGATGTTCTAATAATTACCCGTATAATTAACAACAATCAGGAAAGCATACTTTCATCATGACTGGCATTAGTAAGCCAGATTATTTCAGCTTTAGACCACACTTTCCTCATCTAGAAGTGTGGGAACCAGATGATCACTTAGGTCCCTTCCTAGTCTGATCACAGAATTAAATGGAAGATGTTGTACCGATCGCAATTCCTCTATTTAATGAGGAGAGTAAAACATTTGGGTCATTCAGTAGTATGAGCTAGAGAGCAGTCAAGTTTATACCAATCTGCTTTTTTTGGATAGAATAACCCTTCCTATCTTCACTCTTCTTACCCCTCCCCCCATACAAAAGTTTTCACTACTACCAGGTTCTGTAAGAAAGTACTGGTAAGCAATTAATTCATATTTACAGCCTTGGTTTCTATTATGTGGTCTATCTCCACAAATAAAAGCACAGTAGGGGCGTCTGAGTGGATCAGTCAGTCAAGTGTCCAACTCTTGATTTTGGCTCAGGTTGTGCGATCGACTGCCCCCCGCACCGGGCTCTGTGCTCAGTGTGCTGGAGATTTTCCCTCTGCCCCTCCCATTCCTGTTCTCGCTCTCTAAAATAAATAAATAAATCTTTTAAAAAAAAAAGAAGAAGAAGAACACTGATTTACACATGAAAATTTGATTGTGTAGGTTTTTAGGGGTTTTATGTGTTTTGTTTTTTGTTCTTTTTGGCTTTTCTTTTTTCCAAACAAAATGACTGCTAAATCACACACAGTTGGTGCTAACCCCAGCTCAAAATTTAAAAAAAAAAAAAAAAAAAAAAAAAAAATCCTGCACTTAAAAATTACATGATACTATTTCATACTTGTCAGGTTCTAGAATTTTCAGAGAGGTAAAGCAACAGTCTTCAATATTTGGTGTTAGGCTTGGTACCTGGCGTTTTTTTTAGGACCTAAGGGAAATACAAAACGAGTAAGATACTAATAGTATCGTCCAGAAAGTTACAGCCTAGCGGGAGAGCACAAAGGTGCTAAGTGAACAGTTATACAAGATACCATAAGGGTCACCGTCCACATACATGTCACCATCATTAAATGCCAGACAATCAGAAAAGAACAAGATCACCAAGGGCTGAAGCAGTCGGGGAAAATTCTACAGATACACAACCGTAGCAAATAACCCTTACATGTCCCAGATGCCCTGGAAGCACTTTGCAAAGAAGAGCTCCTCTAAAGCCCTAACGAGCCATTGGGAGAGGCACTGATGTCTCCATTTTGCAGACGCAGACACTGAGATTTCGGCGTAGCACTTAATTCGTGTGGGACTGCGTAACTAGTAAAGGCTAAACTCAGATCGAACTCCAGGAGTCTGCTATAGGCATGGAGGACACTGGACTTGAGCTAGATTCTTGGAGAGGGGAACCTCGGGAAGAAGGAGGACCTGGCAAATGTGTTCCAGGAAGAGAGAACAGAGGGCATAAAGGCCCAGGACCAGGAATGAAGGGACCTCACCCTCAGCCCTATTTAGAAGGAACCACATATGACATGGTGGGTAAAGCAAGGCTCTGAAGGGGCCGGGTGGCTTGTACCTGGGTATTTTCTTTTTTTTAAAGATTTTATTTATTTATTTATTTGACACACAGAGAGAGAGAGCGAGAGAGGGAACACAAGCAAGGGGAGTGGGTGAGGAAGAAGCAGGCTCCCCACAGAAAAGGGAGCCCGATGCGGGACTCAATCCCAGGACCCCAGGATCATGACCTGAGCCGAAGGCAGCCGCTTAACTGACTGAGCCACCCAGGTGCCCCTGTACCTGGGTATTTTCTTACTGGTCTCCATACAAACTGAAAGTCTCAACGTTGTAAAAGTTTGGGGACCCTCTGAAATGTAGAGGCTCTTGGTCTCAAATTATCTTGCTGATCTTTGGTAGGAAGGGTCTGGAATGGCTGTAATTTTGAGAAGCATCTTAATTTTCCTGTTTTAAATCAAGACATTAAAAAATAAGACGAATGACAAGACAGCCATTCTCTTGCAAACTCTCTGAATCCAAGTCAGGTCACACCCATCTGTCCCCCATGAGGGGTGCAGAATGTGACTTTTTCATAACGGTAAAGCTAGTTTATGGCTTTTGTATCTCAAGGCTTCATCATAAAATACTTAAGCAATTGGCGTTAAGAATGAATTTAAAAAACCCAAAAAACCCAAGTCATTAAAAACACACTTGAATGCTTTCTGAATGGCATTCTGCGGCTGTTTGTAGATAAAACTTGCAAAATATAGAACACCAGAACCTTCTGCAAGATGTGTGTTTTTCTGCTTCATTTATCCCCTCTGGATTCACAGGATCACACTTCTTCCAGGAAAGAGGCAAAGCGTTTTGGAGGCTATTCTAATCCCTGCCACCCGTAGTCTGAACGTGTTCTTACCTCACAATTGCTGAGATCAAGAGAGACCCCCTTCAAGTTATGATTGCAGGCCAGGCCCAGCAGCAACGCTCTGCGGGGAGAAAACACACACATTAGACACAAATTCCACAGGCTGCGCCAAAATATGTTCTCCTGCTGAATGGAGTCCAGAGAAGGTCAAGCACCAAGTCGGGTGTTAGAATGCCAGCCGCATGTCAGCCTCTCAGACGCAGTGAGAGAATGATGCTGCGACATTCTTCTCTTTGGCGCAGAGTAGGCCATTCCGAATGGCGGGACTGCTGTTCCCGGGCAAATAAACCGACAGTACCCCTAACCGCATGCTGAAATTAAATTGTGTTCCCTGCAGATCAATTCCCACCTGCATCTGCTTGAGAACACCTTTAATATTATTTAGAAAATCACTGGGCAGTTGTGATTAGAGCAGCAAAGTAACACTGGTTTTCCCCAAGGAGCAGATGGATGGTGGGGAAGTCAGGCTCCGCGGTATCCAGGATCGGGGACTACCGTCTGGGGAGGGGTGTCCTCCCCACCCCCAGCATGTACGGAAGGAGGCAGGAAGACAAGAGCATGGGAGAGAAGGCCCAAGTCTGGAGTCTGAGTCCAGGAGCCTGCTTGTGTGTCCAGCTACAACCAGCTGGGCTCAGGGCAAACCACATCACCCCCGTGAAGAGGACTGTTCTGACTGCACGCTGAGGAGACCGGACGATCACGTGGCTCGAGTCTCAGAATGGATAGGTTCCATCTGCTCAAGTCAGCCCGGTAAAACCCAACACCCTTCACTGGGCTTGATGCAAATATCTCACATAGGCTCACACCCATCAGTCATCCTGAAGGGATCAGAGACCTCAACCAGACCCCCGGGAGAAGCACATGGGGAGCACCAGAGGGGGGTCCTGTTCTGGGGCAACACGTGTGTGTGTGTGTGTGTGTGTGTGCGCATGTGCGTGTGCGCATGCACCACTGTAAGACAGGCAGACAGGAGGGAGTACTGGGGGGTAGACCCCAGGGCCGCCTCCTTGGGGGTGACTACCTGCTTCTCAGTGTGCCCAGGGAAAAAAGGACCTCCACCCCCATAAGAGTGAGTTGGGAAGGCGACTCTTTCACACCAGTCCCCGGGATCTCCCCTTCTGGGGACGCTCTGGCTGCATCTACCCAAAGAGCAAGAGCACCCATGGGGCGCGTGGAGCCCACAATCCAGTAAGAGGGCTGGAGGCGGGTAGTGCCTTTCCTCTCATTCCTTCAAGCTGGCTCACCAGTCCCTTATTCTAAACGCCGGCCGAGGAGAAAAGCTGGGCAGCTCTCATCTGTGGGCATGCTCCTGTTTCATTTCTTACTAAACTGCTCCTTTCCCCAACAAGTGCTGTTCCCCCTTTCCTTCTTGGGGGCAGTATTGAGCCGCTGAAAGTGCCTGGGACTGAGAACCCAAAGGCCAGCCCTGAGGTCCTGGCTCTGTACCCACAGTGGAGTGGCTCCCATGACGTCACCCGTCACTTTTCTCCCATCTCGGGTGCTCGTCAGCAAAATGGGACAGTCAGCACATTCCCAAAGAGGTCCCTTCGAGTTCGAATATGTGCTGAGTTTCTAGAATTTAGCCACATATTTGAACACTCTATTCTTGGAAGGCTTACATGGAAGGGAAATTCTCCCTGCTCTCCTGACATGTAGATTAAGGCCCGGGAAATAATGCTGCCCTTTTAGATATTTAAGGACAGTACAGGAGACCAGAGATGAAGACAGACCAGCTCGGAGACTGGTAAAGACGAAGAACCCACAGCAAGTGTAAAACAAAACCGGAGGGAACGAGGACGAAGCCTAAGGCACACGGGGACAGCTCTCGGCGGGAAGCATCGTTACTTTCACCCAGGGATGGAAGAACAGCTTTAACGAGTGTCCATCAGTCTCCATTGTTGCAACACTGGTTAAGACAAGAATTTGTATCTCATTTCGCCAGCTCTGGACATGTGATGCTAGTTAGGATTCCTGAGTAGATCATGCAATAGGTTTCTCAAAAATACTCAGCCGGGGAGATGGGGAGAAGGGGGGCCATGTGACAGGGAGCAAGGAATGGCACAGGGAAGCAGGGATGGGGGGAGGAAAGTGAAAGCACCAGCATGAGCATAATCAGGACCTCGGGCCTCGCTCTGAGTGATGCAGGAGCCAGGAGCGTCCTCGGGATACACGAGAACCTCGCTGTTCTGAAGACTGTAGGAAACATGAGGGACAATGTCACCAGGCTCTTTACTAAAGCCCCTGGGATACTTCATCGTGGCCTGACACGTCTGCAAGGAAAAAGCACAGCTGCAAAGTAGGCAGTCATATTCTCTGCATTGCTTTTGAAGAAGCCCCAAATGGTGGGAGACTTCTACAGGACACGGTGATGTCCAAATGGAGAAGGCTTCTCTCAGAAGAAGTTGCACTGCTTTAGCATATTTTCTTATGGCTCCTGACCCCCACCCCTTCAACAAGCTAGGGTCTCTGTCCGTACCTCTTGGTGCAGGGGAATGTGGTGGGCGAGGCACATCGGGAGCCCATGGCCACTGGTGGCCACTGCCCGGCACTGCGATGTGCCTCCCAGAACCCCCCAAGCCATCAGTCTTCCTCCAGGGCGTGACCTCGGCCCAAGAAACGTGCCCCACGCCAGGTAAACCCCAACACCTCAGTTCTGTTATCTCTTTTCAAGTTCTGGCCTCACATTAAATGTAATTAATTATTATTTTTTAATAATTTTTAATAATTAATTAAATAGTAAAAATTTAGAATTTTGCTTACAGAATCTTCAGCCACGGAACCTTTTCCCTCACGTTAAGATTTTTACTAAGTGAAACACAGAGCTGAAGAGATTACTGACAGGACACTATTAAATATTCACATAAATAACAGGCCACAAGATTTAACAGTTACAAAATAACTCTTGAGGTATAATTTTTATCCACAGGTCTCTATGCTACAAGGTACACAGTAAAACCCAGTGCTGTGGTGGTGTGGAACATTCTACAGAATCACTGATGCTAACCAGTGAAGAGCTACTCTATATTTCACAGGACCGAGAACACTGAAAGGACTGGAGTACCGGGTATCTGTCAGGAACTTCCGAATAAGCAATCTCGTAGCGATACACTGAGGGCAAGGATCAGTCCGGATCTGCTTTCTACCCAGCGCCCTCCTCATGTCTGGCATGGTGTAAATGCTCCTAAATATTAGTTGAATGAATGAATAAGTGAATGAAGTAAATATGACTAAATTCTTATGGATCCCTCTTTGGAATACTGATTCCATTAGTTTGCTTAATAGCCACACAATCAGCCTCATCGTGAGACCTTTACTGTTTGGAGCTGTTGCATTTACAGACCTCTAATATATTCAGTCAATGTTTAAGAAGGAGGCCCGCTGATGACCACTGGATTTTTCTCTTGGCACTGGACTAGATCTACTATCCTTAAAGACGTTCAATTGTTCTGGTCTTACAAATTGTTTTGGTGCCAGAGGAGATACTGCGATCGATTTCACACCTCTCGAAAGAAAAAAGGCAAGTCACAAATTAGTTGAAGATTAATTTGCTAATAAAATGAATAGCAGACACTGATTTTAGCACATCATACAAATTACAAGGGAAAAATTAAACGCTGATTTACATGCCAGCTGGGGAAAGGAGAAATCTGTGCATGTATTTGAACATGTGTGACCTGTACATGTTCGTAACTACCCGAAAATATGTTCTTTAGACTCAAAGGGAATTTGATCCTATAGCCCTTCTGATTATTTCTGGCCCTGGTGAACAGAAATTTCAAGGACGACAAATTATCCTCAAAACTTATTTCAGTTAAAGAGCTCAACTTCCCCGCTAGGGATACTAACCCAGCCAAGTAAACACACGGAACAGACAGCCTCTGCTGACTGAGGTAATTCAGGAACTAAAGTATCTGAAAACGGATTCCGTTGCATACACACTGTGCACAGAGTTTACTATGCTTAGGAGAAATATGGAGAATAAGTATTGATTAGAACACACATGAAAATACCTAAAGCAGGCTCAACAGAGGTTAACGCAAAAGCAGTGATACCCGGGGGGACAACGTCTACGGATCAGTGACAACTGCCAAGATCACAAACCAAAGAAAGGTTTTCTTTCTCCCCTCGAAAATGCAATACTATCAACAGGGCACAATGTCTTCAAAAAGAATGTGATCTCCTTTTTGTGCCCTGAAGTGAGAAAGGCATTTTCATCTGCTTTGCCTGTCTTAGGATTACGTGTCTTCTGCTTCCCCTTCCCTCAAGCACATTCATAATAACAAACTGAATGTTAAGAGATCTGGAGAAAATGAATTAACGACTCACTTTAACGGCTCAGGAGACAGTTTTGTGCCTGAAAGGTTGAGTTGCATCAGAGACAGGGAGCTACTGAAAAACTGTTTGAAGGACGGGGGCACTTCTTTTCCTTTCCTGAAAAACAAAACGTGAGAGTCATACCAGAAGTTACACTTGGGGTCTGGTACCCCACTTCTGGCTTGGCAAAGGTACCCACTGGTTATTCAGACACCGGGGGAAAAAAATCCATGACTCCATTATATTTTCGGGAGAAATTCAAAGGTAAAAAGAAACAAAATGTCTAGAAGCTAAATAAATCCAATACCATCAAAGGAATGATGTGAGAAGTTAAGACATTTCATTTAAGTCCTTAAAACTACCGCCATTCTTTGTAGCCAAGGATCTCAAACTGTGTTTTACCCATAGATCTCTTGTTGGAATTTTTAAGAAACTAGAGGTAAAAGAGGATGTCTATTTCTTACAATTTATTTTTATTTTTATTCATTTATTTGACAGAGAGAGAAATCACAAGTAGGCAGAGTGGCAGGCAGAGAGAGAGGGAAGTAGGCTCCCCGCCGAACAGAGAGCCCACCATGGGACTCAACCCCAGGACCCTGAGACCACGACCTGAGCCGAAGGCAGAGGCTCAACCCACTGAGCCACCCAGGCACCCTATTTCTCACAATTTAATGAGCTTTCCCTCTGGGTGGCACTGAATACTAAGGATCATTACACGTGCTGGGCAAAACTGTTAGACGCGGCCCGTCTCAGGTGCAACAAGACATGACCTAATGTTGAACTCAGGAACAACACAAAGTCTGATTGGCATGACGCCTGCTCACCTCCTACATCCATAGGGCAAATCTAATCATTTCCAGGCCAAATATTAAAAAAAAAAAAAAAAGACAACTCCAAAGGAGATGGCTACAGACTGCAAATATGGGCCCTTCTTATGGCAGAAACTGTACATCTCAGAAAGAAGGCAGAGTCCATGCCACACTAGGAGGGTCTTGGGAAAACAAGAGCCCAGGGTCGGAGTTGGAACGTGAACCCTTGGCTTGTTTTGCTCTATCTGCTAGAAGTGACGGCAGGACTGAGCGAGTCCCCATGCAGCAAGCAATCAGCTGGGCAGAGAGGAAGCTCTCAGTTAATCGTAGTTATTCAGACTCTCAGGGCAGAGGCGAGGCTAGTGGTCTAGCTCAAGCACGTATTTCCTGTACAGGGTCCAGGAAAACCTGTCAACGTTGGTTTTAAAACAAGGTAATTTCAGGCTACCTAAGAACAACTACCTAAGCAACCAGAATCTCTACGAGGTTGACAAATAAATTTTGTCAAGAGGAAAGAGAATTCTGGGAGAATATATATTAGATGTTCCAATGAACTCTGGTGCCTATAGTGGAACGACATAAGCTTGTATACTCCTGTTCGTTTTTGATGATAAATGTTGCTAAAATGCTTGCTGAATATACTTCTACTACTTGACTGGATGTCTACTGTACCAACATTTTCAAATACCCACTGCCCCTTCCCGTGGGAGGACCACACTTCATTCCCCCACTGCTGGCAGGCGTGGCCAGGCAAGTCCCTTGGCCAAGAGGACATCCCATCAGACAGAAGTGACGTGTGTGACTTCCAGAAGGAAGCTGCACCAGCTCGTATGAGCTATAACTCTTTTTCCTCTGCTACGTGGCTAGAGATCTGCCTTCTGGAATCAAGGCAATATGGCCACTCACAAGCGACATGTCACAAGACCACCACTGCAGAAGGCCATGGAGGTGGGGGTGGGGAGGGAGGACCATTCATTGCTACAGAGCGACTCACCTCCCCTGACTGATACACATAGGAACAAAAGTATGAACAGCCTGGCTGACAGTCCACAGCTCAGGGTACACACATGAATTTCAAGGTAATTACTAAGGGCTGGCTAGGACTGTGCCTCGGTGACGGGCTGGGTATTTAATCACAAGCTCTCACTGGATAAGTGAGGTCCTACTCTGTAAGCTTAAGAGCTCTGGAGGCCAGTCTGGAGGCCAGTTGAGGTGCTTGTGGCATATTTTTGCTCCTGTAAAGATTTACTTCACCACTGAAGTAATGGACTGACTGCGCTTTAAAACATAGAATAATTTATTTGCGAGGTGCAACTATAGAATAAAGCCAGCCGAACAACCGAAATTTCCAAACAAGTGAGGGTTATGCCTTTGAATATAATATACCATATAAAATGGAGGTATTTCAAGCAGTCAGCAATTCTCCCTATTATTAAAAAGCACATAATGACGAAAATATTGTTTGTGATCTACGGTCAATATTCTGAATGCTAAGGGTCGTACAGTATTAACACACTGGATGGTCCCAGAATTTCACAGGTACGAACCCCAGGTACTCTTGTTAACTCTTCCTTCTTTTCCCTCCATTCTAAGTTGCTGCTGTTTGTGGATACTCGCTGCTTCTAATCCAACGCCCTACACCGCAAACAATTCTAAGTCAGGAAGCAGAAGTGAGGTGCTCAGGCTGGCCCTCCAATTCTACAAATTAAAATTCATGAATCCAGGGGGAACCTGGGTGGCTGTCAGCTAAGTGGCCGACTCATGATTTTGGCTCAGGTCATGATCTCAGGGTCGTGGGATCAAGCCCGCATCGGGCTCTGTGCTCACTACAGAGTCTGCTTGATATTCTCTCTCTCCCTCTCTCTCCACCCCTCCTCCATGCTCCATGCTTGCTCTCTCTCTAAAATAAATAAATAAATGTTTTAAAAATTTTTTTTCATTTAAAAAAAATGCAGGAGTTTGGGGCGGGCTATACTCTTTGCCCTGCAAGGGAGTTTATACTTGTTTCCCAGTTTGTTGTTGAGAAGCCCCTTCTAGAAGAGCTTTTCCTGTATGAAGAGAGAGTGCCCGTCCCGTGGGACAAGCGGCTGTCAGCTCACACAGCAGCTGGGGGGGACGGCGAGGAACATCCCATCACACTGCAGTGAGAAAGTACAACAAAAACTCGAGCTTTCGAGGCCTCGTGTTCACAGATTATGGTTTAAGGCCACCTCCCTGCACACACAACACACATCCTTTACCACTCTGTTTTCAGATCACGATAACAGACACTCCTGGAGGACAAGGGTGGCAGGTATAAACCCATACCGGTGCGAGAAGACAGCTCTGGAGAGATTGAGCACGGCTAAATACTGGAGGCATCCGCGGAGAAGAGCTGCGCAGACCTGAGAAGGAGAGAAGGTGCTCTCAGCTCCCAGGATTTCGGGGCCTAAGAGACAACTTTATGACAGAGAAAGCCCTCTCTTGATCCCCCGTAAGTGGCTGCTCTGACACCCCAGCCCAGTATCCAAAAAACATTACCATGTCCAGGGAACATTCCGTGTTGGATAAATCCAGATGAGCAATGGCATTGGGCTGGGCCAAAAAACTGTACATGTACTTGAGATAAAACAAACAAACAAACAAAAAACACATTAGGATCTAGAAACACACACGCACGCATTAATATTTTAAAAAGAAGTTACCCACGTCCTCCCATAACCATTCTCTACTCTTCCCAAGAGGACGAGCAGGATTTCATGTCCTTCCATGGCCTTCCCTGAGAGCAAAGTTCCAAAGAATATTTAAAATAATATTATGTCTGAGTTAAAAAAAAAAAAAAAAAGGCCAAATGAACTCTTGGCTGCCAAACCCCCTTTTGTTACACATGACTTAGTTTTCCTGATTAGCTCGATTTTTATAATTTTGGAGCAGCGCTAATTAATTTTAACTGCTACGATTAAAATACCACCTGAATAGCACTCACCCTCTCAAAATGCTAATCACTTTTGAAAGTGTTCAAAGATCCACTAATTTGAATTTGAACCATCAGATGGTCTCAGGCTATACTCTCTTCCATCCAATGCAACGATTTTTTTCCACCCTTAGTTACTTCCAAAATCTAATAAGAAAGGGCTGGATGGCACTGTAAGTTTAGGTTGTTGTTGTTTTTTTTTTTAATTTCACACACAGTTCAGACATGTCAGGTTTTGAAGGGTCACAGTGCCTAAGCTCTCCCCTTATTCCTGAGCAAGACCATCAGTACAACAAATGGAAGAGTCCTCGGCTCTTCTCTACTTGCCCCGAGGAGCCACAGCCAGAGTTTACCGAGAGCAAACCGAGTCCAGGCTCCTGCCCCCAGGAAAACAGCTACATTCTTCTTAGCTTCTCTGGATGTCACCAGATCCTCGCAAAAACTAATGAGCTTACACTGAGATGTCCTCATCCTTAGTAAAGACTCACGGTGCAGTGGCTTAGCTCTATCATGCTTGAGCAAAATCCTCTCTACCAAATCGGAAAAGCAAAAGATTCGCCTGTAAATACTTTAGAGTAACTAGACACACACAACAGACTGGATTATGAGAAGTTCTGATCCAGAAAAATAATTTGCTCTCGCTTCTGTAACGATCTCTGCCTCTCTTGGGCTTTGCAGGGCTTGTGGGTCCCCTCTTGGCCACCAGGGGGGGAGCTCTAATCACCCTCGATTGGTGACAAGACCCTTCTTTGCCAATAGCGCCTCTCCAAAGAGGCAGGTCCAGCTAGGCCCCTGGCCCTGAAGACAGGGGCCGGGTAAGCCCTTCCCTGCACCTGCTGGATGGCTCCCAGAACCTCCCAGAACCTGTCCAGGGCTGGGAGCCCACTGCCACAGGCCTCGAGTTTCCACTTCCCTTTCCCCAGAGGTAAGCGGGAGCAAGACCCACTCTGTCTGAGAAAATCCTGGGCTGCTTTGCTATCTACCTTAAGTGACTATTAATGTCCCTATATTAGCAGAGTCTTATTATTTAATCTTCAGGCTCCTCTTTTATCCCTCCATTTCCCTAGTTTGCCACCGTAACGTCTTAGTGATCTCCCATCTGACTTCCGGTTTCATCTTGGGAGGAAGCAGACCCATGAATCATCATGGAAAGTGATAACTAACATGGATCGGCCATGCACTGAAGAAAATCATGGCACACTGGGAACCAGCGTTGCTTAAAATGGGTTCAAGTCAGGGAGAGGGAAGAAATTCTACAATAAACTGTGGCAATATTCCCTGCCTTACAGGGAAAGTAAAACACAAGGGAATGGGAATAAATTTCACAATGGTTCTCACCCCCATGAAGAGGCAGAACACACATGAGGAGGATTCTTTGAAGACGCACACTTGTTGTAGGCCCTACACGACAAGGGAGCATTTCTTCTAAATTCTATCACAGAGACCAGAGGGGACAACTCCCCAAATCTGAGAGTGAGATCACACCTAATTCACTGTACCAATAAAATCTGCCAGACATTTATATTACTGATTTAGCTGCATGAAAGTCTTATTTCATCATAGGGGAAACTTTTTGCCTTTAAATTCGAACTTATTTAATGAGTGGCTCCAATGTATTCCCAAACCCTCCCCTTTCCCTACTGTATTCATGGAATATAGGACTGGACTTTATCCCAATATCCTTTTTCAACTGTAAACTATTAAAACAAAACAAAACAAAACAAAAAAACACCTGTCTTCTCAACAATATTATTTAATGATGAAATCATTCAGTTTACATTTCCAATCTTTCTTATCAGACAAATATAAGAGGTTCAATAATGGTTAAAAGGAAGTGGGGGAAAAGGTCCTTCAGAAAAAGTGTTTCCAAAAAGAATTCACACTTTAGCAATATCAAGTTAACAGAGGAAAACATCTATGTGTTAGACTACATGTAATTAAGGACGGCTCTGGAATTTTTCTCTAAAACACATCCTAAGCTCATAACTAAATGATCTGAAACTCTCCTGATAAGAGAGGAAAGCCATGTTTGGAAATTATTCCAGGTCTATGGAATACAGTGTCTTTGAACATGACTGTGAGGAAAGGAAAACTTACCGAGAGGTCGTCTCCGCGGAGGACGTTCCCTGAGAGGTCGAGATGGGTAAGGGTGGTGGCGGTCAGCGGGTTGGCACTGAGTGACTGAGAAAGGCTATTCACCCCTGCAACATGGAGAAGACCCAGCTCGTTTTCCACTCCGGGAAACAAAATGAGGTTTGGGAGTGTCTATAAATGGCCCCATCAGATTGCAGGACTGAGGTTAGCCACAAGTACTGTCCCCAAAGGTAGGACTGTCTTCTTCCCACCTCCCCTCGGGGAGAACGGCAGAGGCAAGGACACAGCCATCTCACTGAGCAAGAGAAAGAAACAGAATTGGCTTCATTCTGCTCCACTTCTGATGTGGCTGGAAAGGCTGTGACTTGGAAGTGCCAGAATGAGGCACGCGAGTCGAACTGGTCATTTCCAGCTTTCTCTTAATTCTGCTTGGTGCCCCTGACTTGGGTGTGTGGGATTTAAGTGATACGGTGGTGCCTACAGGCACTTCTCGCTATTTAAAGTACTTAGAAGTTAACATAGGAGTCAGATAACTGTTCTACCTAATACATCATTCCCAAGGCAAAATTCAGAGGGAAAGGGATTTTTCAGAAAGAGCGAGAACACGATCTGCATACAATATAAGCAGCAATCAAAAGCAAAAATGGGTAATTAACACTCTACACACTACTGACACACGTAACATAAAAAGCTCGGATCAGAGTCCACTGAACGGAACAGAATCTCGTCACCTCCAAAAACCAGGAATAAATACACGAGGAGGGCGAGAGCGTTCTGTGGGGGGAAAATCACGTTCTTTCCTACGTGGTAACAGTCACGGAGGCACGTGTGCTGGTGGGTTCTCCTCAGGCCACTTCTCTCCACGGGGAGAGGAAGGCTCTAGAAGGCAGTCCCTACAGAATGGGAGCTCAGGGGCACCTGGGTGGCTCAGTGCGTTAAGCCTCTGCCTTCGGCTCAGGTCATGATCTCAGGGTCCTGGGATCGAGTCCCACATCGGGCTCTCTGCTCAGCAGAGAACCTGCTTCCCCTCTCTCTCTTTCTCTGCCTATTATGTGATCTCTGTCTGTCAAATAAATAAATAAAATCTTTAAAACAAAAACAAAAAAAGGGGAGCTCAGCAGAGTCTGGCCTTTGTGGGGATTGGAAGAAGTCAACACACACAGCACCTCGGATGCTCATTCTTAGGGTAACAGGGATGGGGACATAGCCAAGCTCTTCATGTCTCTACGGTCCATAGTTCCAACGTGTGTAGTTTGGAAATATGGTGATTTCTAAACTGGATGTACATTCAAAAATTTTTTTCCAGCCAAATTCTGAAAAACCCCAGCCTGTCTTGAGCACCCTATAGGGAGACAGGGAAGAGGGGCGAGTCCACACTTGCACAGACCTTCCTCAGGATAAGGGACGGGGGTTTGACCTGCCAGTGGGCGTCAGAATTGGCCACAGTGGCGGAACACAGAGAAGCCAGGAAAAAAGCAGAAGGTCCCAAGAACAGCCTCGCACAGGAGCGGGTCTCTGCTCCAAGGGTTTGGAATGTTTGGTGCATGGGACTGATGAAAGGGTTACTATCTTATCCTCCGCCTTTGGGGGGTTACACGACTGACTGCAGAATGTCTGTGTCTGATAAAGACAACTGCGCCATTTCTCAGGGGTGACTGTGCCTCTGGGTATTGGGAGAGAGAGAAGAGAAAGAAGTACAGAGGGAAAAATATTTTAGTTCCGCACCAGGAAGCAGATCTTGGCTATCAATTCAACATTTGTTAAGTGCTCGTAAAAATGTTTATAAAATGCTGGGGATTGGGAAAGAAATGTAAATGAGACCCATTCATTGCCCTTAAAAAGTTCAAAGACCATCAAGAAGGAAACAATAAATTCCAGCATGAAAAATCAGCACTGCACAAGGAATATGTATTCACTGCAACAAAAGTTTATCTAAGACCGACTGTCCTCCAGGCATGGGCTTTTGAGACCCTGGATCTATGACGTTACCCTCGAAAAGAGAGTGGAATGAGAGACACAGTCAAATAATCATAATTCAGTGAGGTTGGTTCTATCAAAGAGGTGAGAGACAGGAGCTTGGCAATGAAGGTGGTGGTGATTTGATTCATGATGCTGGATAAAAGGAACTTGCAATGGCCTACAGAAGGTTAATTTCTGGAGGTAACATCTTCAGTGGGTACCGTTACTGGTAGTACTAGTGTATTTTGTAATGGAATAATTGAGTCGCAAGCATGGAGAATACCAGACTGTCTCTCATCAAGAAAATCATTTGTAAAATCCCTTCCTTAGTGAGGTATAACAAAGCTCAACAAATAAATTCCAAAATTAGAAGGTCAAATGAGTCTTGACAGGAAAAGGCTCCTTGACAAGTGTGGGTGCTTGGCAGTTGGCCAACACCTGAACAGAATCAGGAGAGAATTATATTCTCAGCTCAGCTTCGTGCCACTAAATCAGAATGAAGGACTTCCGCCCCCACTTCTGGAGCCCACATCCACGTGAGGCTTATGTTAACAGGCACAAAAACATCAGGAAAATACAAAAAATATAGGATGGGAAAAAAATCAGGGCTCTCACAACTCAAACTCAGCGGATTTACATGCCATTCTCGATCCCGGCTGTCTAGTGATTGTGACCGTGCTTCGTACTTATTATTGTAGTGTTTACAGCTGGAAAAAGGTGGTACCAGATGGCCTTGCACTGACGTAATCTGGCAACCAGCAGGATATTTACTAGAAATCCAGAAAACTATCATTTAGCTAACATCTGAGGGAGAGAAAGGGTATTTAGAGACAGTGGGGATGTCATGGGGAGATTTTTAAAAAAATCTGTCTTGAATTACGGAGCCATGAATATACATGTTTTCACAGAAGTAAAATACAAATGTTAGTCAAATTCAGCAAAAGATTAAAACTGCAGTGTAATCTGAGTTGTTGTGAATCTTCAAAGCTTTATAATACTACAAGATAATCTGCAAGAATAATGAAATCCTTTAAGAAATTCTCCTTTTTATGAGGAAAAAAAAAACAACCCAACATTTCAAGACATACATCTCTTAGGAAGGACAGTTTGAAAATCTCATTAAACAATATTAACTCTCAAAACACATATTTTAATGTATACAAACTTTGTGACAGAGGGAAGATAAACGTGACATGATGACCTTTATCTGGGAAGGGCATGGGGAACATGGATCTGTCCTTGCTCAGGAGGAAGCTGAGGACCTCTGCTCTGCCTGGGGGACCTCCCACCCTCATGACACCTGGAGGGACAGGGACATAGTGAGTGGTGGCACAGAGGTACTCCAGACCCCATGTTTGTCCTTGAGAGGATAAACGATCACCACATCCCTCTCTTATCCCTCTCTTTCTGTTTCACAGTCATGAACAAATAAATAAATTCAAGTTGCTCTGCTTGTTTGTTTTAAACATCTCTATCTTAAAAAGAGTTGGACCACACAGCACGGTGATTATAGTTAATACCGTATTGTGTATTTGAAAGCTGCTGAGTGTAGAACATAAACGTTCTCATCACAGGGTAAAAGAAAATTGGAACTGTGTGTTGACAGATGTTAACTAGACTTATTGTGGTGATCACTTCACAATATATAGGTATGAAATCATTATCTTGTATACCTGAAACTAATTTTAAAAAGTTATAACTATGGAGCACATGATAAATAATTTTTTTTTAAGATTTCATTTATTTATTAGAGAGAGAGCAAGACAGAGAGCACAAGCACGGGGAGCAGCAGGCAAAAGGAGAAGCAGGCTCCTTGCTGAGCAGGGAGCTAGATGCGGGACCCAGTCCCAGGACCCCAAGATCATGACCTGATCCAAAGGCAGAGGTTTAACCGACTGAGCTACCTAGGCGCCCAATGATTAATACTTTTAGTGTGTAGGGAATATATATAAATTAGGAAGGAAGATTAACATGGCAAATAGAGAGGTAACAAAGGATGGAAACTAGTAACTTCCTCCAAAAGAAAGACAAACGGCCAAGAAACGGGAGGGTGCAGGGAGTGGGAGTTGGGGGAGAATTTACCTAAGCAAGAAGTGAAGAAACTAAAATTCAAATATCAGAACACTTTGAGGTGCCTGGGTGGCTTAGTCAGTTAACCGTCTGACTCTTGGTTTCAGCTCAGGTCATGATCTCAGTCGTGAGATCAAGCCTCACACTGGGGCTCCCCGCTCAGCAGGGAGTCTGCCCAAAGATTCTCTCCCTCTACCCCGCGCCCACTGGTGAACACTCTCTCGCTCTCTTTCTTAAATAAATCCTTTTAAAAAATCAGAACACTTTTGCTTATATGCTTGACAAAAAATGAAAAAGAATAACATCCATGGGTAGTGGGAATGTGGACGCTTGGACAAAGAACTCGGAGGACAATGTGACAACAAATACACAAAGAAAGCGTTAAAAAAAATGCACGACCTTTGGGATTTAACAATTCCACTTAGAGAAATTTATCCTCAATGAGAAGGTAACAAATGACCAGTAATTACATACAGAAGTCACGTTAGCACTGTTTGCATTGCTGAAAAAGTAGAAACCCCACAAATGTACACTAAGAGCCCACTTAAATCAATTATGGGGCGTCCCCCACATGCTGGAACAGCATATGCGGCCACTGAGAGCACTCATGTGTTTTTGGTCATAGTATACGACGCCGGGAGAAAGTTTACAAAATGGCAAGCGTCCTGTAATACCATCTCTGTGTGTGTCTGTACGTGGGCATACAGACCAACTACGTACAGACAGACAGGACGATTATGTACAGACAGGCCAACGATGTACAGACAGAAGCCGCATGGAAGGACAGGGGCCGGGTGTCAGCGGGGGCAGTCTCCTAACGGTGTGGCACGGGCATGATGAGTAACTGTGGCTTTCTTATTTATACCTTCCGGTATCTTCTAAATCTTTACCATGAATATACAATACATTGATAATCATCCGAAAAAGGTTTCCATGAAACTGATTTGCTGGAGTAGAGAAGTGGTAACGTCACTGGACGGCACTTAGCTTTGAGATCTGTGGACGGCTTCCAGCACCAGCACAAAATACACAGACTCCTGGGCAAATGTGCCCCTTTGGGAAATCACTAGAACACCTAAACCTAACTATCTGCACGTCAAATCATGGGACTTAGAGGAATAACCCCAATTTCAAATCACTCTTAGGGTAACTGTGTGGTAGGAATAAAACAGGACTAGGTGACTGTAACAGGACCCAGGGACTGCTTTGCTGGTGACCCGCTCGCCTGTGACACATGCAGTAGGGACCCAGAACGGGCCAGGTGCCAGAGACACAGCAATGGTGGAGGCAAAGCCCTTACTGTCCGGAAGTTCCCAGGCTAGGACACAATCAACACGTAATTGGAAACAGGCTAAAACAGAGGAATTTGCAAAGTGCGACGGAACAGAGACAAAGAAGCATCCACTTGTGCAGGGTGGGGTGAAAGAAGGCTTCAGGGAGGAAGGGGGACAGATGCTTGGTCTCACAACAGGGGCAGGATTCAGAAGGTCCAGGGGAGGGGACACTGGGGATGTCCAGGGTGGAAGGAGAAGCATGTGAACTCACAGGACAGAGCAAGATGCTGACGGTGACGGGGTGGGGCCCTTTGCGCCCCAAAGTGCACGGTGTGTACATTAACTCACTTTGTCTCACCACCTCTGAGGAGGTACTTTTTTTTCTTTTAAAGATTTTATTTCTTTGAGAGAGAGAGAAAGAGCATGAGCAGGGGAGGAGCAGAAGGAGAGCCATAAGGAGACTCCGTGCTGAGTGTGGAGCCCCACGTGGGGCTTGATCTCACAACCCTGAGATCATGACCTGAGCCAAAATCAAGAGTCAGATCCTTAACTGATGGAGCCATGCAGGTGACCCACAAATCAGTGTTTTATAAAATAAACTGAAGTAGGGATGCCTAGGTGGCTTAGTCGTTAAGTGTCTGCCTTCCACTCAGATCATGATCCTGGGGTTCTGGGATCGAGCCCCACATTGGAGTCCCTGCTCAGTGGGGAGTCTCCTTCTCCCTCTTCCACTCCCCTTGCTTGTGTTCCCTCTCTCACTGTGTCTCTGTCAAATAAATTAATAAAATCTTAACAAAATAAAATAAAATAAAATAAAATAAAATAAACTGAAGCTCTCCAAGAATATATATAAGGGGAGATGTGAGATAATAGAAAATACATATCTATCGGTCTCTGACCCCCATTTATGGAACAAAGTTCCCTAAACCCTCGAGCACTGAGGTCATCTTTTGTTCTAATGAGATGACTGTGGCTGAGCTCCTGGATGGGGCTGGTCACCAGGGAGACCCACCCATGATTAGAAGCTTCCCCCTATACCCATCCTCAAAGAAGAGGAGAAGGGCTGGAGACTGAGATAATACTTGACCATGCCTATCTGAGAAGCCTCCAGAAAATCCCAATAGAATGGGTTCTGGGGGGTTTCCAGGCTGGCCAATGCATCCACACCAGGAGGGTGACACAGCCCAGCTCCACAGGGACGGACGCTCCTGGACTCAGGACCCTCCCACACTTTGTCTTATGTATCTCCTCACCTGGCTGTTCACCTATGTCCTGTATCAGATTCTTTAAGAAACCAGTAAACACAGTATCTTCCTGAGTTCTATGAGCTGCTCTAGCGAATTAACCAAACCTAAGACGAGGTCTTTGGGACCTCCAATAACCAAGGCTTGCAAATGGGGTCTCAAGGATGGTTGGGAGCAGTCTAGTGGGACTGAGCCCTTAACCTTCGGGATCTGGGGCCGACTCTGGGTAGACAGTGTCAGAACTGAGCGAAATGGTGGGACACCCAGCTGGTGTCACCGAGAACTGCTCAGTATGAGGAAAAACCGCCATGCATCCGGGGACCAGAAGGGAAGTGTTTGGTGTGAGTAGTCAAGGAGACACACAGGAAAGGGAAGCACAAAGGAGGGGAAGAAGTCTGGTTTCACTCTACAGGATGAAAGACTTTCCAAGCAGAATATAGAGCACGTACAAAGGCACAATGCACAAAGGGATAAATCAAGCATTATAGGGTGCGGATGTGAAAACATAACAATAGAATGGACAGATTTATGGAACAACCAGATACAACGAGAGGAGGGTAAGTGAAGTCAGCAAAGACCCTGGGGAAGGAAAGGCAATCTCCAGAGGGGGACAGAGCGGGTAGAGGTGTGGTGTAACTGGCCAGTTAGGTTCACCAGTTTTCCATGCAGGAGACCATCCACTTGACAGCGTGTGTGACTGGGGTGGTGGGGGTGGGGATGGGTGAGCAGAGGCAGGGGCAGCCCAGGTAAGCACTCCCCCACCCAAACTCAAAAAGTTAAATACTCTATTTCAAAGTTATGCTCTATCCTGAAAGCATTTCACTTTAGACAACCAGAATTCCAATTACACTGCTTCTTTATCTTGAAACCGTCAGAGTACTGTAGTATGTACCCAGATACATAACGGAGCAATAATTCTAACTATTTAAGGTAGCATGGTGTAGCAGAAATATTACAGACATAAAGCAAAGTAAATAACACGTACTGTACCTTTAGGTGACAATGAGGTTTTAGATAAATTTAAATGCTTTAATCCCTTTGGGAGTTTGGCAAATTGAATACTTAAAGAGGACACACCTGAGAAAGGAGGAAAAAAAAGATTATTAGAATGTACAACTTCTCAGAATTGCATTTGTTTTACAATGCCTGAAAATTAACTTAAATTTGATTCCAACTTAAGCTATCATTTTTTTTTTCATGTCAGGCTTTATTTTCTAATTATCTACAATCACACCTTCTTTTTTTCTGTTCTCCCTAAAGGATAGAAGAAAAGAAAGATTGCTTAATTAAGAATAACAATATAAAACTTTACCATTAGAGATGTTTTTCTTTGGACTAAAGTGTTACCCTCTCCTCTACAGTCCTATTTCAAATGCAAATACTCTTAGGAAGAGTGGTATAATTACTTCTTTTTAACCTGTGTCTTAATGAGTTGATCACTCTTCTGGGTGAGCAGATGCACGCTACTTAATTATTGTCAAGAAAACGGAATAATGTTAACTCTTCGGATAACAGCTTCACTTTTAGCACTTGGATTCTAATACTTAATTAGCTATGGCTAACAACCTCAGACAAAGCATCAGAGTGTGTTTAACTTCTTACAGGTAGGTTGTGCAACTTGAAAAATCACAGTATTAAAAACCAGAGAGTCTCTTAATTTAATGACCAAACTGGGAGACTGAACACCAGCTTACTCACTCAAGGACTGCAATGAAAGTAAGCAATTCCCATAGCTCGTTCAACCAGCTCCCTGCTACATGTGAATTATCTCCTTCCCAGGGGCATGTTCCTGGGAAGGTTCCTGAAATAATATTAACCATATAGTCTCCGAGACTGATTCTCAAACTCCATGTGCTGATACAGAACTACCAAGCTGGTTGCTGCCCTATCATATAATCCCACATTCTCTATACACTTTTTCAAAGTTTATCAAGAAACACCTACTGTATTAATTAGAGTGATAGTAGAGCACTAAACCTCTAGTTTGGTGTCTCCCCAAGGACGGTGGGTGTTCTGAGAGTCCCTATTTACTTCCCCATGTAATTTCCGAAATAAGTTTGAAAATCGCTGGATTAAATGATGCCACACAGGTTTGTTTATGTGAATACTTCTCGAGATCTGAATATGCTAATCCATATTATTAATTATGAAGAGGGCACAGGCCTGGTATTTAGATGATAGATTCTTGTAAAAGAATATATAATTAATCAGTTAATAGGAACACAGAGAAAAGGGAGTCATTTTAGAAATGTAATTAACCTTATTCCAAAGGGCAGAAAAGGAGAAAAAAAGAACAATGAAAAAATGAGGAAGAAAGAAAACAGACATTCAGTAGATTGCCATAGAAATAAATCAATAATTACAATAAATGTAAATGTTCTAAATAAAAAAACAAGTCAAAAATGGATTATCTAAGCAAAAAAATCAGGTGCTTTCAAGAAACACTCAGAAATACATGTATTCAGAAGTGAACCTAAAAGCATGTAAAAAGATATATGCTGCAAACACTAACCACAAGAAAATAAGTATGTCTGCAATAATATAAGACTAATGTTAGATTTTAAGAGACAAAGAGATAAGTGAGACATTTCATTAATGAAGATGAAATAATTTTAAATCTGTATGGTCTGAATTACAGTCTCAAGATGTCTAAAGTAAATCTAACAGTAACAAAAGGAAAATAATATTACTATATACACTATATATACATACATGTGTGTGCTACCTTGCAACAGTGGGAGATTTTTAGACACATCTCTGTCAGATGATAAAACAGATAAAAAAGGATATAAAGACACAGATGATACCAAGAACACAATAAATAAGTGTTTGAAATATTTAAATTACTGCACCTAATAACTGCAGAACTTATTTCTTCAAAGTACACATAGAGCCTTTATTTACCTAAAGCAATGATATGCTGAGCTTCATGAAAAGCAAGTCTCAACAAATAATATAGAGGAAGTTTCTTAACTGCTGTGAAATCACACAAAGCACATTCTCCAACTGCTACCACTATATGAAATTAACATAGGAATTATAGCAAAAAGAGAATTAGAAAATCCCCAGATCATTAGAACTGAAGCAAGGTATTTCCAAATAACAAATGAGCCCCCCCAAAAAATCACAAAGGAAATCTTAAATATATTTTTATTTAAACTTTATTTTTTTTAAGATTTTATTTATTTATTTGCCAGAGAAAGAGAGAGCACACAAGCAAGGGGAGCAGCAGGCAGAGGGAGAAGCAGGCTCCCTGCTGAGCAAAGAGCCCGATGCAGGACTCCAACACAGGACCCTGGGATCATGATCTGAGCTGAAGGCAGATGCTTAATGTACTGAGCCACCCAGGTGTCCAAAAATTTTATTTAAATTTTTAAAAACTATGATATCAACATTTTAGGGATACAATTAGAGGCATGCTTAGAGTGAAATCTATAGACCTACTTATGTTATTAAAAAAAAAGCTGGAAACTAAGTATCCATCTCAAAGTATCTGAAAGAAAAGCAGCAAATTAATCCCCACTCCATCCCCATAAACAGGAGGAAAAAAAGATAACAAAGGGAAGAACTCCATTAAATAGAAAGCATCCATAAATAAGTAAATTTAATAAATCCTCTTCTTCAAAAAAAACTAATAACATTAATGAGCCCCAGAAAGACTGTTTTTTTTTTTCTTTTTTAAAGGAGAAAAAGAGAAGGATCAAATTATCAAAATGAGAAATGGAAAAAGAAATACTAGTAGAGATCCTACAGACATTCCAAATATAACTAAGAGGTATATGGACAGATTTCCTAACAAAAAATACAATTTACTGAAACTTACATAAGAAGAAATAGATAATCTTGGGGTGCCTGGGTGGCTCAGTGGGTTAAAGCCTCTGCCTTTGGCTCAGGTCATGATCCCAGGGTCCTGGGATCAAGCCCCATGTCTGTCTCTTGCTCAGTGGGGAGTCTGCTTCCCTTCCTCTATCTCTGCCTGCCTCTCTGCCTACTTGTGATCTCTGTCAAATAAGTAAATAAAATCTTAAGAAGAAGAAGAAGAAATAGATAATCTCAATAGTTTTCTATCTATGCAAGAAAGTAAACCCATTATTAAAAACCTCTCCACAAGGAAAAGCAAAAGTTGCCTAATATAAAAGAGTATATACTATACAATGCTATTATTTATGAAGTTCAAGAATAAATAGAGCTAACCTCTCATAACAGAAGTCATAGTAATTACCTTTTCTGGGCCGTAGAGGGCAAGGGTGAAAATCACCAGCACAAAGCAAGAGGGAAGACTGTAAAACTTGTAAAGCACTGATGAAGTTCTTTGTCTCGAGCTTGGTTTTCATGATGAGTGTTCACTTTGTAAAGAGTCAGTATGATGTAAACTTGGGGTTTGTGAACCTTTCTGAATGTACATTACACTTCGATGAAAACGTTTACTTCCCAAAACTTAGGCATGGGAGATAACAGAGGAGAAAATGGAGATGGCCATGGGTATGGTGATGCCTTTTTAATGCCTTTTTAGATGTAACACCAAAGGCAGGATCCGTGAAAGACTAACTGGTAAGCTGGACTTCATTAAAATTTAAAAAGTTCTGTTCTGCAAAAGGCAATGTCAAGAGAAGACAAGCCACAGACTGGGAGGAAGTGTTCGCAAAGACTTATATTCCAAATATACAAAGAACTCTTAAAATTCAACAATAATAAACAAGCCAAATGAAAAGGAGCCAAAGACCCTAACAGAACTCTCAGCAAAGAAGTACACAGAAGGCAAACAGGCATATGAAAACATGCTCCACACCCTAGTTCCCCAAGCAAATGCAAATTACGTAATGAGAAGATACCACTACCCACCTATGAGAATGGCCAAAATCAACACCAGGGGCAACACAAATGCTGGCAAGGAACTCTCCCAACGGGAACTCTCGTTCATGGCTGGTGCGAATGCAAAATGGCGCAGCCGCTTTGGAAGACAGTTGGTGGTTTCTTACAAAACATACACCAACATGTGATCCAGCAATCAACCCAAGGGTGTTGAAAACTACAAGAAATTCTTGAAAAGTCAAAAGTATGGAGACAGCAGAAAGAGCAGTGACTGCCAGGGCTGGAGGATGAGGGGGCGGGGAGGAGAGATGAACAGGTGGAAGACAGGATTTCTAGGACAGTGAAGCTCCCCCATGATACTGCATCGGTGGTTCCATGTCATCGCGCATTTGTCCAGATCCGCAGAATGTGCACCGAGAGTGAATCCTAATGAAAACTATGAACTTGGGTGATGATGAGATGCTAGTGCAGGTTTCTCCAAGGTCATGAATGTACCATGGGGCGGGGCTGGGGTGTCACTGATAGTGAGGGAGACTCTGCCTGTGTGGGGCAGGAAGGATATGGGAAATCTCTCCATCTTCCTCTCAATTTTGCTGTGAACCTGAAACTACTCTAAAAAAGATAAATAAATATTTTTCAAAAATCAGGTATGGATTTAGAAAGAGTAACAGATTCTCACTTTTAAATTCTGGTAAGAGTTATCACTGCCTACCCATGACCAATTCTTTTATATGGTTTTTTACCTAGCAAGGCGTATGTTATGATGATGTTTAAAAAAACAAAACAAAACAAAACCCAAACCTATATCCCATGTCTTCAAATCATGCTGAAAATAGGTTAGATCAAAGTTAAAACCTACCACTCAACTTCAAATCTGTTGTGCTCAGACTGACTTGAGTTGTTTAGCTTTGTTGAGAAAAGGACAATTTTTACATTTTCACGAATTTCTTTTGTGACAGACGTATCTGTCACCACGTAAAACCCTAAATGCCTATAACCAGATGCAAGGCTGGAGTGGGACAGTCATTTAAGGTCACTGATGACACCACCCGGGCATTCATTCCTTAATCATCAACTATCTTTTAAAAAGGAAGGAAGACAAAAATGAGTAAACAATCCAGCATTATTTTTCTCTGGAAATTGAATGATCACACTGTCAACAATGAAAGTAATAAAAAGCGAAGCTCCTGAATCAGGATGAAGGTGAATAAAGTCATGGTTGATATTTATGTAAAAGAAAAAAAAGGTAGGAAAAATGTAAACAG